CTTATGTATATATATTACACATCTATGTATATAAATTTATATATATATATGTATATATATATATAATATATATATATATATATATATATATATATAATATATATATATATAATGCAACATATTTATGGATATATATATATGTAGCAAATAAGAATTTTTATATATTGTGTTAAATTATATATATTGCATACATGTACATGCTGTGGACAAGCATGTATTTATTGCAGTTTTAAGAAAGGAATTGACCCCTGTACACATTCTTTTTTTAAAATTTTTTAATGAGTAAAACATAATCTTTTTATGTTTTAGAATATACCCTTAGATAATATATGTAAATTTTATATGTAAATATTTGTTTTTCGCAAGTATTCAAGAATGTTTTGTTTTAATATAATTTAATGCAATAAAACATTTTCTTTTAAAAAAGAATTTGTTTGTGCAGGCAATACATAATATGTTTATTAAAGTCCAAATGATGATGAGTATTTGTAAGTGCTAAAAAGGCTCAGATCTTATAACAATAATATATGATTATATATATGTGCATCTTAATATATGAACAATATTTATCAACAGAGCGAGACGTCCGCTGAATCAAGGATGTCGAGCGGTTTCGAAGATGAACTCGGCGACCCGTTCAGCAATAGCTTCTTGCAAGAACTTGGTATTGATACGTGGAACGAATCAGAACAAAATACAAATTCTTCCACTCAACAACCAGTTGCCGATACACCGGCACAGCCTCAAAATAATTTTGCAGTGAATACGCCGCACTGCGTAAGGCAATCGCCTCCGCAGCAACCGTCCGCTCCGGCTCCCCAACCACATCCTCCCCATCCACAAGCCTCTCATCCACAAGCCTCTCATCCACAACCTCCTCATCCACAAACTCCGCAATATAATTTCCCTTATAACCATGGACCTAACTACAACGTTCAGACACCAACGCCCCCTCAATCTTATCAGTACCGATATGGATCAAATCCTGGTTCACAAAACTGGTCTAACAATGGTAGTTCAGCACGTCTGATGCATATGGCTAATATTGCCTCCACTCCTTGGCCCCATTCTGAACAGTCATACAGATTTCACTCTGCGTCTGCTTCTCAGTTGTTGTCACATATGGGCCATAGAAGCTCTCAAAGAATGCCCCAGCAAATGAATTATGGCTATCCCCCGCAACAGCATATGCGAATGTCGTATCAGCAACATCAACATCAGCTTCAACAAACACATCAGCAGCAACAGCTTCAGCAGCAGCAGCAACAACAACAACAACAGCAGCAGCATCAGCAACAACATCAGCAACAACATCAGCAACAACATCAGCAACAACATCAGCAACAACAACATCAGCATCAGCAACAACAACATCAGCAACAACAGCAAACACCACAATCACAGGACGACGATGGCTGTCACTCTCTTCCCTCAGATTCTGAGGCTCAGCAGCTACAATCCCAGATTTCTCATCTTCTTCGTGGCATACAGACGGAAGAAACTCAGCAACAATTGCTTGATTTACAAGAGAGATTACGAACAGTTCGCGCTAGGCAACAACAAGTACTATTACAGCAACAACAACGATCCGCACCCTTGCCAGCTAGCACTCAGCAGTATCACGCTAGTCAAATGTCGCATACTTTGCATTACACTCCACCGCAACAGGTGGGGGGCACTGTAAGTTCATCTACTTGCCAACCAAATTCACCCAAACCTACATTGTCGCCTAACAAAGCACCAAGTGTTACTACCGTTTCTCAAACTGATACAAGAAACGACGCGGATGAAAATAACGCTCAGGAGAGTTATCCCGCTCTCTCTTCTTGTGTAATTAGCACAGCTGTCTCAGAAGCTGTTTTCTCGCAAACTAATCAGACAACCACTTGTGCGTGGAATGGTCATAATAGTAACTTGGCAATGTCATCGCAAATACGACCTCTGCAACGAAACGGTTTTATAAATGAAGCACCTCCTCATGCACCAGCCCCGCCCCGATATAGTAACTCTCAACAATATCAAGAACAAATGATGAGACATTATTCTTCACCTCAACCTCCAAATCGTGCTTACCCATCTCCAAATATGTACGAGGCTACTAATGGAGTAAAACCGCCAGAAATGAATGGAAATGGGGTAGTCGACCATCCTACAATGGGACCTAGAAACATACCCCCTGCTTATATGCGACCTCGTTATCCCAACGTGCCTACAAACACGCTTCAAGGACCAAACGGCAATATGCCACCCCCTCAAGTGCCTCCAAGAATGCCTCATCAAATTCCTCAACATTCTCCTCATTTAATTCCCGCTTATCATCAAAATATACCTCCACAGATGCATTCTCGTCAACCAATGTATCACAAACCTCCAATGGATCAGTATAACATGCCAGCTCAATATCCCCCAGGTCAGCAAAGCCAATTTCCTCCGGTGAGAACAGGCCCTATATCAAACTCAAATAGTATGGAACAGCAGACTGCGACTGAACAGAATTCTCTTCAAGAATTAACTCCGTTAAAAAGACACTCTGGTGATGATCAGAATATTGTAGATAGATCGGAAAAAGAGTCACAAGTCATTCATCCTGCTAATTCATACCAATCTCCCGTACCAAGTCTTTCCCCTTCGTCTTCTTTAAAGAGATCACCAAGTCCTTCATATTACTCACCTGCAAAAAAGTTTAAAAAAGTTGTAAAGAAAAAAAAGAATTATATAGAAGATGATGAACAGGAGATATCGTACGAAGATCCTCGTGTACGTTTTAAGGCAGTTAAGAATAAAAAAAGCAAGCAGCAAATCAGTGCAACGAAAGCCAAGAAAAGGAAGAGAAAGGGAAGCGATTCTGAAGAGGAAATGGATGAAGTGAATGACCTTCCATCAACGTATGATGAAGCTCATGTTGAGAAAAGACGATCGGGTAGAACCAAAAGACAAAAATATGTCGAAGAACCTCAATTAGATCTCTCTGATACGGAAATGTATCTCAACAACAATGATACAGGTGCTGAACAAGCCAATTTTGTGGAAGCACATACAGAGGAAGATACCTTGACCATAGATAAAATCTTAGGAATTAGAACAACAAAAAGGAAAATTGAAAAAGATCAAGGAGCAACTTGTAAAGAAGTCCAAGAGGAAAAATCCCCGATCCAAGAGGAGGAATTAAAAACAGAAGAAGATTCAGAGGACAATGGTCACTCTAAAGTTAAAAATGATATTAAAAAGGAATCTGAAATTAAAGTCGAGCCTGAAAATAAAGTTGAAGTCGAAGAGTTTGAAGTTGAAGAAATCTTTGTGAAATATAAAAACTTTTCATATTTGCATTGTGAGTGGAGAACAGTTGAAGAATTAGAACCATTCGACAAACGCATCTCTCAGAAAGTTCGTCGTTTTAAATTAAAACGAAATCAAGAAACTGCGTTCCTACAATTAGATGAAGATGATCTATTTAATCCTGATTATGTGGAGGTCGAAAAAGTTTTAGATGAATCTGAAGGAAAGGATGGTGAAGAAACTGTTTTACAATATTTGGTTAAGTGGAGGGGTTTAGGCTATGATGAAGCTACATGGGAAGCAGCAGCTGATGTTGATCCAAATAAGATAGAACAATATAAAAAGCTTAATCAAGTACCTCCTTTGAAACGATTAATGCCTATAGAGAGACCTACTGCTGCTGAGTGGAGACAATTAAAAACATCACCTTTGTATAAAGACGGGAACACTTTGAGAGAATATCAGGTTGAAGGTGTAAGCTGGTTATTATTTAATTACTATAATCAACAGAATTGCATTCTTGCTGATGAAATGGGATTAGGGAAAACAGTGCAAAGTGTAGCTTTTCTCCAAGAAATTTCGAAATATGGTATTAGGGGACCGTTTCTAGTTATAGTACCTTTATCTACTTTAGGAAACTGGGCGAGAGAATTTGAAGCTTGGACCGATTTAAATGCTATTGTATACCATGGAACCCAAATAAGTCGAAATATGATTCAGGAATATGAATTATATTTCAGAGATAGCCAAACAAGTAAGAGAATTCAAGAAGGTTATAAATTTCAAGCCCTAATTACTACTTACGAAGTCATATTGCAAGAGATAGAATTACTATCTCAATTTGACTGGCGAGCTTGCATCATTGACGAAGCTCATAGGCTAAAAAACAAAAATTGTAAACTATCTGAGGGATTAAAGTATTTAGATTTGGAGCACAAAGTCCTTCTTACTGGTACACCGCTTCAGAATAATGTGGAAGAACTTTTTTCATTATTAAATTTTTTGGAACCTCAACGTTTTAACAATGTAAGCGCATTTTTAAATGACTTTGGGGATTTGAAGACAGAGAGCCAAGTGAATAAATTGAAGACTCTTCTAAAGCCGATGATGCTTCGTCGGTTGAAAGAGGATGTTGAAAAATCACTAGCAGCGAAGGAAGAAACAGTAATTGAAGTCGAGCTGACTAATATTCAAAAGAAATATTACAGAGCCATATTAGAAAGGAATTTTACTTTTTTATCAAAAGGAACTTCATCTTCTGCTAATGTACCCAACCTCATGAACACCATGATGGAATTAAGAAAGTGCTGTAATCATCCCTATTTGATAACTGGTGCCGAGGATCAAATATTAAATGAAATTAAGAACGGCCAACTGGAACCTTCAACAGAAGAGATTCATCATGCTATGATTCAAGCATCAGGAAAACTGGTTCTGATAGATAAATTACTTCCTAAACTGAAAGCTGGAGATCATAAAGTTCTTGTATTTTCACAAATGATTCGGGTATTAGACATTCTTGAAGATTATCTTATTCAGAAAAAGTATCTTTATGAACGCTTAGATGGACGGATTAGAGGAAATTTAAGACAAGAAGCTATTGATAGATTCAGTAAACCAGATTCAGATCGCTTCATTTTTTTACTCTGTACAAGAGCAGGAGGTTTAGGTATTAATCTAACTGCTGCGGATACAGTAATAATTTTTGATTCTGACTGGAATCCACAAAATGACCTACAAGCGCAGGCTCGTTGTCATCGAATTGGACAAGTTAAAATGGTTAAAGTATACCGTCTGATAACAAGAAATTCTTATGAAAGAGAAATGTTTGACAGAGCGTCACTAAAATTAGGTTTAGATAAAGCTGTGCTCCAATCTATGAAAGAAGGTGTAAAAGAACAGAACAGTTTGTCAAAGAAAGAAATAGAGGACTTGCTGAAAAAAGGTGCCTATGGGGCCATTATGGATGATGACTCCGCAGCTGATCAGTTTTGTGAAGAAGATATTGATCAAATTTTGCAAAGGCGAACTCAGGTTATTCAATTAGAGAGTGGAGAAAAAAATTCAACTTTTGCCAAAGCGTCATTCAGTGCTTCTGGGAATCGTAATGATATTGATATTGACGATCCTAACTTTTGGCAGAAATGGGCTAAAAAAGCAGAAGTTGAACTTGGTAGTAATAGCGATAAGGTAACGTTATCCTTCTATCGTCTTAAATTATTTGATATATGTTTTTGTTATGTAATTCAATAGAACGACCTGATTATTCTTCAACCTCGACATCGAAAAAAAATTACTCGATTTGGTAATCAGGACCTATTAGACGAAATTTCTGATCTAGATTCTACTGAAGAATCTGATCCTGATTTGGCAGCTTCAATTGAACAGGTAGGCAAGAAACGAGGGAGAAAATGCGTAAAACCAATACGTAGAATGCCGAAGAAAGATGACGACGAAGATTTTGTTATTGACGAATATGGTGATGGATATTCAAGAACTGAATGTTTTAAAGTTGAAAAATATCTAATGACTTATGGTTGGAGCCGATGGAAAGAGATTTGCGAACGATGTCGTTTCAAACGTGATTTAAGCAGCACTGACTGCGAAAAGTTGAGCACAGCAATTCTTACATATTGCATATCGCAATACAACGGCGACGAAAAAATCAAATCCTTCATTGTGGATCTCATTCAAGGTAAAGCTGGACAGAAAGGTCATAGTGGTTTATCTGATCCAGTTCCACGGGGTAGAAAAAATAAGAAAAAAACCGAGAATAAAGATATTGATTTATCATCTCTAGAAGATCCTCTTAAATTACTTATAGATGAAGGTTATCGGAAGCACTTGGACAAGCATTCAAATAAGTAAGTAATTATTTGGAATTTTTAATAGAAGTAATTTTTTGTTGAATTTCAGAATTTTATTAAGGATTCGTTTATTGTTTTATGTAAAACAAGAAGTAATCGGAAACGAAGCAGAAAAAATTCTTAGTAATGAAAATTTTAGGTAATAACATATTGCAATCCTCCTATCACACTCTGAAGTGTTTGATTTTTCAGTGAGATCAATGTACCGGTTGTTTCTTGTTCCGATGTTGAAAAGCCTTCTGAGTGGTGGGATGAGGAGGCAGATAAGTCATTAGTTATTGGAATTTTCAAACATGGCTTCGGTCGTTACAATTCAATGCGTCAGGATTCTTGTCTATGTTTTCTGAAGAGATGTGGACCACCTGATGACAAAGCTCTTGCTGCTGAATTGAAAGATGATGAAGAAGAAGACGATGAAGATAAAGAGGATAGTGAAGCGGAGGGGGCATCTGTTACGACCAATGGACCTGGAGATAGCGAAGATTATGTCGCTTTACCGTCGGTAAATGATTTGAATGCACGTGTCAGAAAATTAGTTTCCGCTTATCAGAAAGATTTTAAGCGAGTTCAGCAAAAATTACAAAAGTCTGCTCGTAGAATAGAGAAACGCGAACGAGCAGAAGCGGAGAGCAAAGAACGTGAAAAGTTACGATTAGATGCAAAACAGAAATGGTCAAAGCGAGAAGAAAATGATTTTTACAGAGTTGTATCTAATTATGGCTTAGAAAAGACAAATGATGGACAATTTGTTTGGGACACATTCAAGTCTATGTCCCGTTTAGATAAAAAATATGATGAAACTTTAACTGAATATGCCAATGCGTTTCTAGCAATGTGTAAACGAGTAACCAGCAAAGATGGTGATGAAGAATCAACAATTGAACCGATAAGCGAGGAAAAAGCTACGAAAGTACTTTTTCGAGTGTCTCTTTTAAACAAAATCCGGGAAGAAGTTTTGAATCATAGTCTGCTTGAGGAAAGATTAAAATTGTGTTCTCCAAGTAATGAGCTACCTTCTTGGTATGAATCAGGACTTCACGACAAATACTTACTCTCTGCAGCAGCTAAGCATGGGTTATCTAAAAGTGCATATTATTGTATGAGGGACGATGAAGCTAGTTTCAAAAGATTAACTAATTTGTCTAACGAAACCGATTCAGAGGATGTAGAAAATGCCTCTTGGCATAACATAAATGACGTTTGGCCAAAATATAAAATTGTTTTAAATCGTCTTAGCGATGTTTGTGAAACCGTTCTAACAGGAGAATGGCCAAAAAGAGCGCCAGCTCAATCATCTTCCAGAAGTAGCACACCAGCTTCATCTCAGGTGGAAGATCAGAAGGATGAAAACTTAAGGGTAGCAATACATAAAAGGCATAATCGTGAGAGTTCAGCTCAAGATGACGCATCTAAACAGTTACAAAACTGGTTATTACAATCGCAATTGAATTCATTTCCAGGATTAGCGGGTTTCGATATTAAGAATTCCAATTATAAAACAGATTTTGAATCGCTCACTGGATCTGAAAGTGTATCTGTAATAAACAGAAGAAGTGGCAAAAAGTTAACCTCCTCAAAGGCCCCGCTATTGAAGAATTTATCTCAATGGCTTCGAGATCATCCGTCTTACGACGTTGATCCTGCGTGGTATTTTGTTCTATCATTACCCGAGTGGCGTTTACCTGCTGATTTGGAAAAAAGGAGGTTACCAGCAGCTGATGATGTATCGGCTGCAGCAGTTAGTGGTGCTGGCAATGTTCTGAATCCAGCAAATGATTTATATGGTCTGGCTCACTTGCATTTGTTAGCACAACAACAAGCTCTTGCTTACAATCCTCTATTCTTTAACCCGTTACTTGCAGCTAGCAGTGTAATGAACTATGCTAGCTTAATGCAGCAACCAGAAGCGGTGGCATCAACAGCTTCACCTTCGCCTCCTCAAGATTTGTCAGTGAAGAAGGATGATCTGCCTGAAGACTTATCCGTAAAGAAAAAATCGGCAAGCAAAGGCAAATCTTAGCATCGACTGTGATACACAAACGTCCATATCGAGTTTTAGCGACACAACACGTGTTGTTAGATGTTTTTCCTGTATAAATATTGTTATGCTCCTACTACTATTATTATTGTATACGTAACACGCTTTAAACTGTCACACGTATTTATTGTTCATATTCATTGATCAAAATATACCTATCAATAATAGAATTACCCTAAAGTATTTGAACTTATGACAAGCGTTCAGTGGTTTTTATTTTTATAAATCTATTTACAACCCAGGAAACTATGCACTCAAAATATTTCATTTGGTCAATTCACTGAACATAAATTGTATCATTCTTCCAGCTGAGGCAAAACACAACAGACTTTTTAGGCGCAAAAAAATATCACGCACCCCGCCAACGCTCACCGGAAGCTTCCTTTCAAAAATTTTTGTGAATCCATGAAATCAGATATTTTCTGAAATATTGACTATAAGTAATCCTTAAAATTATGTTTCAACAACAAGGTAGTGAAGTATATTTTGAATCTTTTGAAATAACATCACTTTTCAGTATTCTTTCTCTAACAACGTTATTGAGAAAATTGTATTCCTTTTTTCAACTGGACTTTATAATCGTAATTTTTCAGCAAGCGGCTCCTTTAATACATCCTATGGAACGAATAGTGATACAGGTAAATAGACATTTAATTCCTTTTATATTATTCATTTATTTTCAAATTAATTAAATTTGACATTTATAAATCAGCCGCCGGTTACATGGCTTCAACTCCAGGACAACAAAAACGATCCAGAGATAGACCGCAACAAATTGTCCCTGTTACTATTGCCCAGTTATTAACAGCTAAGCAAGAAGATGAACGTTTTATATTGAACTCTGGACTTGAATTTTCACAATTCACTTTTATTGGCTTTGTTAGAACTATTAAGGCAACGGACAATAAAATTGACTATGAGATGGAAGATTTCACTGGTCCTTTGGTATCTGTTCGTCATTTCATTGAGGTTCGGAATATTACAAAACTTAAAATAAATCCTTACGAATTGTTGAATTAACTTCTTTTGCGTTTTTTCAGACGGAAGAACCAACAAATCCCCAAGATGTAATCCGAGAAAATTCATTTGTTCGTGTATTTGGACAACTGAGAGTTTTCAATGACAAGAGAACAGTTTCAGGTTATAGGTGTATCCAAGTAGCTGATATGAACGAGTGGACAGCACATATCCTCAGTGTTATACATTCTCAATTAGACTTTGAACAAAGTTTCAATGGTCAAAACGGCTCATCAGACCAATCCAAAGGTATGCATGGAACAGGGACTGAAGAAGGAAATTCAGGTATGACACTAGATATGAAACAGCTTTTTAGACTGGTTAGCGAAAACAAAAACGAGGAAGGAATTCGAATTGATAATTTAATATCATCGAGTGGCCTTAATGAAAAATCCGTAAGGTATATAAATCTTACAGCTTGTCCAAACGTCTGATAATGCTCGTAATATATTTTCAGAGCAATTATGGATAAATTGGCTGATCTTGGAATGGTCTACACCACCATTGATGATGATTATTTTAAGTCAACCGAAATGTAAATTTATTTAACTTTTAATTGACGTCAAGGTTAAGATAGACATTTACGCTGTAAAACATTTCTGCAAATACAGTACTTTATTTTTAAAGATTTTTTTTCTATTTATTCATACTAAAACTTAATAATTTTTACAATTAAGTAACCTTTTAGTGAGTTAGCATTTATTCGAATTATACTAATAATTAAATTCTGAAAACGGAAAAAATTTATTCCCCTCTGAGCAGCTACAGGAAACTGAAATTTTAGTTATATCATATGATTGCTACAACGCTCATCTTACTTATTTAATTGTCATCTAAAATGCTTAAATTTAAAATTAAAAAGATCATCTTGTTTAATAAACTTGAAGTGAAATGACTATCCAAACCCGCATAAAGCTACTAATTAATCTCTAAGATCTAAATGAGCATATCTAAAGATTTCCAAGTTCAACTTTCACTTTTCAATTATGTAATCGACCAATCATAAAATCCTTTAGTAGATTATCAGTCAATGAACTATGTCCAGCAGATGAAAAAGGCAATGTTGCATTTCTCCCACCATGCTCTATTATACATGCCCAAAAATTAATCGTTTAATAAAGTAGATAAATTTCTTGTAATAAATACCTAGAATTATGTCGCATCCGGCAGGATGATCAAATAAAAATTTAGTAACATCATACACATTATCATTGATGATTATCCAACAAGATCTATGATCACAGTGTTGTGAAACTTCCTGTTCGGTAAAGTGTTTGATATCTTTAGTTGCGTTAGCCATGACAATTGATAATGCAAAAATATGTAACGCACTCTCATAGTTTACAGTTTCATGCAGATTACACTATTTTATACCACATGTAGCTCTAACAAGCAAAAAATTTAACATAGGCCTACAATCTTATTCAAATTTGGCGACTTTCGAATTGCTGAGTTAATTTTATCTGAGTGGTATTCATTTCAACGTTAACGGTCATTCTTAACACTCAGGTTTTAATGGATTATTTTTTTCGAAAATCGAGACCTGATCTCTTTGCGGAGGGAGATCAATCAGAGAGTTCTACAGAAACAGAAATCAGTACTATTCTTCCTCTTTGTAAGTAACATATACGTTCACCAGGTGGCGTGATTCCTATCGTTTCCAATACGCTTTCATTGAAATAATATACTTGGTCGCGGTATGCAAAAGCGCTGGAAATCTCTCTTCCATATCACTAAGCAAAATCCACGGAAAGTTAAAGAAGAAAAAATCATAGCTGAGAAGTACGTAACAATAAATCTACCTGAAGTAAGAGGTAGAGCTTACTCGACAAGTTGTGTCGATAAGCAAAAGTTTTTACGGTCAAACAAATCGGAGCAGTGTTCAAAATGCGGTCTTACTGGTATGTTTGCAACTACTTTTACCATGTTTCGGATTACTTTTCGGCTTTATTATTCGCTTTGTATTCGTAATATTTTAGTATTTCCTATTTGCGCGCGTTAAGATTGTATTCCACGTCTTGTGTTGTCCTGTGTTCCGTATTGAAATTTGAACGCAGAATGGGTATCCAGTCTACTATTTGTTTGAATTTTCGCCCACCAGACGCTGCCAACGGAAATCTAGGTGTATAATAATTCTAAATATCTTAATATACATGGCTCTCTCTCCCAATAAAAAGAGCCGAACCATGGATAATTCTAATACAACTATTGAGGAAACTTGTGAAAGCGATGCCTCAATTGATCGCTTGGCACGTGAAAAGGATTTACTGCTTCAAAATATTGAACGTTCTAGTCGACTGATTGAACGAGGTTTGAGAAAGAAAACAAACGACATTTTACACAAAAATGAAATAGATCAGTTTCTTGAAAACTCTGAACTTGTGGAAGCAGTCGACATGGATAATACATGTATAAGTGAGTTATGGCGCGGTTTTGTGACTGATCGCAAAAACTGACATTTTGTTGTATTTAAGTGACTTTTGATCAAATTATTATCGTTTGAAGATTACCTTCCTTTAAATAATCAATATTTTTTTGTTAACAGTGCCAATGGGAAATGAAACAGGCTTTATATCTGGTGTAACTCAGTCCGACAAACTTAGATTGGCTGCAAGTAAGGGTCACATTGAAGGGGTTCGACAGTTGATATCGATTGGTGCTAAATTTGAATCCGACAGGGTATTAAGTATAATCACAAAGTTCATGATTTTTTCTTACCAATATTTTTTAAAAAGGAGGGTAGGACGGCTCTTCACTATGCCGCTTTAGGAGGTCACGAAGAAATAGCTCAATTGCTATCTCAACAACCTGGCTGTTATGTCGATGCCCAAGATTCGGTTTGTCTTACAAAATTATTCAAGAAATTATATGGAAAGCTATCATTCTGTTTTATTAAATAGCATGGTTATACGGCTTTGCATCGAGCAGCAGCTCAAGGACATGTTTCAGTCGTTAAAGTTTTATTGCTTGAAGGGGCAACTATCGACATTCAAGACAACGTGGTAAGATATATTCTAAGATATATGATGCATCTATAGCATTTTTTTTCCAGCATGGCAATGCTCCCCTTCATGAAGCGGCCTGGAATGGTTATAGTCAGACTCTAGAAATTCTATTGCAATATAAGGCAAATGTAATGATTTTAAATAAAGGAGGATTTACTGCGTTACATATGGCTGCTCAAAATGGACATAATCAAAGCGCCAGAATACTTCTTTATGCACGATCGTTAAGTGTAGATCATAAAAATAATGTAAAATTATACTTTCTGCTTTCTTTCGCTAATATACTTTTATTCCAGTATGGAGATACACCTCTGCATACTGCAGCAAGATACGGTCATGCAGGAGTTACCAGAATACTGATAGGAGCTGGATGCAATGTTGATGAACAAAATAAGGTAGGTATTTAAGTACATGATTAATGAAAGAAATAGCAATTACAAGTATTTATTTATAATATAGAATGGTGATACGTCATTACATGTTGCTGCAGCTTTAAAACGTAGAAAGATAGCTAAACTGTTGTTGGATGCGGCAATTGATGTAGAAATACGGAACAAGGTTTTTTTTTCGTTTTTTTTTACAAATTAACATTTGAAATTTTTCCAGCAAAATGAAACGGCAGCTAGTTTGGGACGACGAAAAGATCAAAAAGAAATAATCGACTTAATTGAGTCGCAGCCAAAGGTCTCTGAGGCATACTTGAAATTTATATATTATTTACTTAGTCTTTGCCAACAGATATCCAAAGAACAACGAAAAGAAAAAATGAAAAAGGAGAAGGAAAAATTGCGCATGCAGTTCGTCGATCAGCCCGAAAGAAAAGAAAAGAAAGGATTCTTCTTTAAGCGGAAATCGAGCGCTAAAAAAGACGATAAACCGAGTAGATCTATTAGTAGGGAAAGAATCGCTGTATCGACCGGAACATCAACACAAATACCAGCAAGTGATTGCTTATATGGTTTTTATGGTGCTATTGATGGTCCAGGTAAAATGCATGGAATGTCTCCTTCGAAAGTCCGAAATGTAAAATCTCACGGTACCAGCACAGTTAGCGGGCTTTTAAATGAGTACAAGTCTCGAGATGGAATACAGTATTATAGAGATTTGGCAGGAAATGTAAAACAGGGTCCAATAGGCTACGCACCCATATGTAATTGTGCTCCCCAAATTCTCAAACAATTGGAGGCTCGTGTTGAGGCAGGGGAAGAATCTTTATATGAGCACATCGAACATAGACAACGTACTTTGGCCGACAGGTTGGAGGCCCTTGATCGAAGAACAACTCGACAAGTTCACGCCCTGGGAAATTGGACTCGCGATCGTCTTCAGGACGAGAGAATGGCTCATGTAAGGCATTTGGATGACAGATTAGCCGCGGAGAGAAGGATCACTCATGACGAGCTTGACTTGCATTATAATTACTTGACAAATCAATTAAATTCCCAGACACATTTGGTTCGGAATGCAGTACATGTGTCAAGTTTCAGACCTAGGTCTCGCTCCACCACCACTAGACCAGTACCTATCTATCGCTCCAGATCCGATGAGTCTCTTTCCCTCTCCACCCGCCAAGAAAAACCCAATAGCAAATCATCACCAGATGGTAGAGCTGATTCTCATACTATAGTGGTTGATGTTCATCACGAATCCTTAGATGCAGCAAAGTCACCATTTGCTCATCATAGTAAAGCAGATTCTGGCAGTAACCCAGATTCAGGATATAGTAGCAAAATTTTTGCTGGTCGACAAATTCAGGCATCGCGATCTTCTTCAATATCCGAGGTGGATAACTGGAAAAGACCTAGAGAGATCGAAATGAAGCCCTCCTGTGTAACTCGGACTAGTATAGAAATTAACCAAACTGCTACTGAAGTTTAAACTATTTGTATTTTTATTTTAAAACATTGTAAAGATAAGCTAATTAATCCTATAAAGTATATACAAAATAAAATAATAAATGTATATTACATAGATATACAATATGTACAAAAAAAATCCATGTAAACAATTAATGAATCAGTTTTTTATGACTATCTTACTGATCTAATGACATGGCAATTTGTCGAGATGGTCTTCGTTGAGGCATAGGAGAGACGCGAGTTCTCTGGGGCAGGATCTCTCCGTGTTGCGACTCCAAGTGTCGTCTTAAATCGACCTTCCTTTGGAAAGCTCGGTTGCATCGCGAACACGAGAAAGGCTTGAACCCCGTGTGCTTACGGCTATGTGTTATTAAGTTCGAGGACTGGCTAAACGCTTTTCCACAGACCGTGCAGATGTAAGGCTTCTCTCCTATAAAATATACACGTATCGAATACAAATACTTATTGAACGAATTGCAAATGTACAGCTAAATAGATGCTTTGAACTGGTTGAATGACGCCGCAAGGTAAAGAACTTATGTGCATGAGATTTGCAGATTGTGCGAATAAAATAATCAATTGTTCATTAAGGAGTAAATATTCTAATGATATAATAGTTACACATATGCATATATTGAATTAGTATTACAAATACATATGTATTTTTTAAATACAAAAGATACTTTATAAAAAGTGAGGGTCGTGTAAATAGAACCGATTCGATTACATCGCACCTGCCATTAAAACATGCTGTGTACGAGAAATAAAAAAGAGTAAAAGGTGCTCGCGTCGCGTGCGGCGTCATGTTATGATTTCCCGAGAGAACGGACAATTCTCGGCAATTCTCGGCATCATCGAAATGTCAGTGTATGCATTATGCACAAATGGGCGGAGCTTACCGGTGTGAATATAGGTGTGTTTCTTCATGTCCGATTTCTGATGGAAGCGCTTGCTGCAGAAAGGACAGGCAAATGGCCGAGTGTCGCTATGAATAAGCAGATGAGTTGAGAGCGTTGAAGATCTCTTGAAACTCTTTCCACATTCTTTACACTCAAATGTTCTCTCTTGTTTGCAAGATTCTGTCGATTGATTGCAGCGTCTAGAATGAACTTCAAGACCGTGAGGAGTAGCAAATGTTTTATCGCAATTAGAGCATTTCGTAATCAGCGAAAGATGAGCTTCGCGAGCGGCCTGAATCATTCTAGATCTGGCGTACATCCGACAAATATCCGTGCAACTCACTTTTCCTTCGCACAATTTCATACGTTCGCTAATCAGCGAAGCTGCAACGGATAGTGCATTTTATACCGTATACTAAACTAATAATCGCGTTCCGCAGAGACGGTTGGAAAGCATCATCAGTCTGTGCCATCCCTAAGGCGTCAGATTGTATACTTACGGCTCGGTAGTGCATATAGAGCGGCCACTTCAAACGCCGACGTTTCACAGGTGACGCCACTACTAGTTTCTGTTTGAGGTGTTGATGATCGTGATGTCACGTCTGTGAAATGAAGACAAAAATTATTTCTTAGTTGTTAAATCCATTTAACATTATAAGCTTGTCTAGTCACTGATAGCGAAAACGGCAAGAGTTACCTGTATATTGGCTGAAAATGTTAAACATCGAAAAGCAACATCTGTTCAATTCTCCAAAGAGAATTTCATAATTCGTAACTTTGTGAAATTATCTTTGGTTGATATTGTGCACTTTACTTTAAACAATAACAGACGTTTAAAGTAAACTCATCAATATTACCAGATCGTAATTGAAAAGATAAAGGGAAAAACTATCATAAAAGCTCGAAACGAAGAAAATTAGATCACGAAAAAACTAAAAAATTTGTTAAATAAATACCTGAAATGGACGTTTCTGAATCGTCACCTGTAGAATACCTTCGATAGTGGGGACGTCTTGTAAGCACTTGTGGCATATTGTTCAACACGTGTCTGGCGTCACTGACAAACAATGAAAACAAACGGCAATTCTTCTACTTGTGCCGATACTCACGTGACTTAACGAAACAGCCAATGAACGTCAAGCTGAATATTCATGGCCAATAGCAGCTTTATCGTAAAAGGAAATTTCACCGATCACCTACTGCCAAATCCTTAAAGAAACCATCTTTTAAACCGGTTGAATGAAGTTATGAATTTTCTAAAATGCATTTTAAAGTATAAAATTTGAGTTAAAAGACTCTGCCTGCGGAAGAGGATTTTGTTGATAAAATTTAAATAACGGGAAGCTCGTATATTGAGATAGAGACTATAACGGAAGATGACGAGAGTGTCTATATCTGATAACTGCTGATATCATGAAATAAGAGGGATGGGACTTGAACAGATTTCGTATTCATAGATTCGCAAGAGCCGGAAATTATGAAAATGTAAACAAGTACCACGTTAGAAATTATCGCTAGTTGCTTTCTGGTAACAAATAAAACTTCCAAAAAAATGATTTTATCATTGAGCACATTTCTTTAGAAAATTTTTTTGTTAATTCGTAAAAATTCTTTTAAATTAAATAACTATACTTTCGTTGTCAATCCTTTCTTAAATAGTCCCCGATATAAATAATTTATGTCAATTTTTTACCTGCAAAATATTATAGTAAGTACAATTCTACTAATATAGAAAACACTAAATTTATTATTCTCTCTTAAGGTATCCAGCCATTAAAATATAATGCAGTTGAAAAGAACTTTTTACATTTTTTTTTCATAAATAGCAGTGGAACTCGATGCAAATTTGTTCATCAAACAGTGTAAACACTTATAAAACATATCTAGTAGGCCTGAAGATCCTTTGCTCTTTAACATCTGCCAAATCTCATGAGGAACTAGGCAGTCGTATAAAGCGTTCAAGATCGATATCATATAATTAAATCATACTTTTCTGAATGAGCTTGAAAAAAAATCATCTGAACTCCTTATTCGATTATAACAATCGAGAGAACGTATTTTTACTAACTTCAAACGAAATTTAACGCCATACTCGACATATAAATTATGCATATAATACAGATAATTATTCGCTGTTAACGCAATAAACGCTTCTCAAGTTTCGACCAACTGTTTCTCGAACGAATTTCAATAAGGAAACGTGTGAGAAAAGCGTTACAGGGGCGATAAGTCGACAAGTTGGAAGCAGTAATCAATAACTACATATAAGAATTCGATAAGCGATAATGAGTAAATAGGGAACAATATATACAATAAACTGTGTATATAAAGGTTTGCGTTGTTCATATACTACTAATTGTACTAATATATGCAATTAAACATTTGAATACTTTTATTATCTGAGTTCATGCTAAATATGACTCTAGAAAAAGCATTCATAATTTTTTTTACAGCTGAAGCATAGAAGTAAGTCTATAAAAAATATATGCGAACCAACACGGGCCGGTGATTTCATCAAAGATACAAATCCCTGCCTTATAGACCGGAACGCACTTTATAATATGCATGTGAATATTTGCTTTGAACAGCAGTTCTGTATTCAATAGGCTTCCGAGAGGGCAGAATAGTTTATAAAAAAAATACATGCAAAATGTACAACTAACTCCAACAAGCTTTCGGTTGGGCATGAATAACAATAGTCCAATCACTACTTGTCCATTTGCGCACCTAGCAGATTGAGCGAATCATGCATAAACTATACGCGTTCTTTTTAATTTATTTACGAGTGCGTTTTATGGCGAGTCAGTGCGCGTTTCATCATCCAGCTCTTTTCTTTTATGGTATTTTCTATATTACTTTGTATATTCATTGAAGAATTACTCTGTCTGAAATTTAAATTTTAAGCCAGTTTTTTATGAATTCCCACGCGGATTCAGACGTAATAGCGTATACAGTCCAATTCGTATTAGCTTTTCGAGGACGCGCAATCTATAATTCATGTTTGCTCTTTCAACCGACAATCTGCTAGTTTGTTTCTTGTTGTGGCAACTTGTCTTTTATTGTCTTAATTACAAGCTTTCTTCGTATGCATCAAAGCGCATACTTTACTATGGATTCCTATTCTTCCAGAACTCAAATCAGCCTACTAAATTATGAATGTCAAGTCTAATTTGTAATTTTTAAAAGTTTGGAATAAGTTTGGCCGACTTCCTAAAAGCATTCTTTTGTGATAGAGATTTTATGATATAGGGGTATAGTATAGGAAAAAAAAATAGTTTTGATCTCTAGTTTTCCCTTCCAGAGGAAATGGGAAAGTGTTGAATTGCTAGATTGTTTATCGAATTTGGCTTTTCCAGGTAGTCATCTTAATCATATATTATAAATATTCAACTCATAATAAGTACTAATTTAAGTACAAGGATAAATTTCTTTTTGAACTAATAGATGAAATATTGACACAATTTTTTTTATAATATATTTTAACTGAAAGCACGATTTTTTAAGTAACATAACTTTAATGATTTATATGGTATGGAAAATTTCTAAAGTTTATGACACTTGCATTAAGTAAGAATCAAAATATAGGTATTAACTTATAATACTATAAAAAGTATAAAAAATATCAAATAAAAATCACAATCGCTGAGAGTACGCAAAGAGCTTTATCCTCATTGTTTTATACTATTTTCGAGATGTTTGAGCGACGTTAAGCTTATAATAAATATTTTTATTAGCCATTAATTCATGATGGGTTCCTTCTTCCTCTACTTGTCCGTTCTTCAATACTATAATCTTATCAGCGTTGTGAATGGTTGATAGCCTATGTGCAATAACAACACAGGTTCTACCCAATCGAGCTTTATCCAAGGCCTCTTGAACGACTTTCTCACTTTCAGTATCCAGAGCTGATGTAGCTTCATCTAATAACCTATATATTAAAGTTAATATAGTGATTTAAAAAACGTCTCGAAACTTACAAGACTTTAGGATTTCTGATTAGAGCCCTTGCAATAGCAATTCTCTGTTTTTGGCCCCCGCTCAACTGTGCTCCCTTGTCACCCACGTTGGTATCATAACCAAGTGGCAGACTTGATATAAAATCGTGAATGTTGGCACTTTTTGCTGCATTAATAATTTCGTCCATTGATACATCTCTTTCGTTATCGCCATACGCAATATTTTCTTTAATGCTAGTATCAAACAAAATGGGTTCCTGTTGAACCAAACCAATAATTGATCGAAACCAATGGGTTTGAAAAGACTTAATATCTTGCCCGTCAAACTGTATAGAACCTTCTAAAGGATTATAAAATCTTTCAAGCAAGGATATAGTGGTACTTTTTCCACAACCCGATGAACCTACAAGGGCTGTTGTTTTCCCTGGTAGTATTTCAAGATCTAAATTTCTCAGAATAGGTGTAGATATTCTTGAAGGGTAGCTAAAGTTGCATTTGTTGAAACGTATATGCCCCACCAACCGATCTAACTTGAGACCCTCGGTAGAAAAACTATCGATTTCTGTCTTTCGATCAAAGAGATCGAATAATTTGGCAGCAGAAACTTTAGCTTTACCATAGTCTGGAGCAAAGGAACTTGCTTGTCCAACAGCCATGGCTCCAAAAACGATGGCTGATATAACCCTTTAAAAAAAAGAAATAATAACAAAAAATAAAAACAAGATTGCAATGTCAATTACTTGAACATATTTTGATACTCCAGGTTATCTTTTTCAATCAAATAAGCTCCCAAACTGAAACAAGCTGCATATGCAAAAAATATAATACTCTGACTGAATGAATAAGCAATTCCTTGAATATGAGCAGATTTTAGGTTCCTCCTGTTTTTTTTATGATAAGAATTAAAAGAAAGACTAAAAAATATAAAAATTTCCTACTTCATAGGAAGCTGTGTTTGTTCGTTGTAATTTTTGATGAAAAAATCTTCTTTCGTTAGAGTCACCACTGTGCGAATGTTCTCTATAGCTTCAACAGATATCTTCCCTGCTTCTTCCAATGCTTCTTTGTCTCCTTTAGCACCACCAGTCATAACGCGCATTTGAATAAAACCCCCAATCATCATAAAAGGAGCGAAACCACATATTAAAAGACTAAGTTTCCAAGAGAACACAAATCCGATAACTAATCCTGTTACAATACTACAAAAACTCTGAATAATAGTTCCCAAACGAGCTCCTGTGGCCTAAAATCTATTGGTTTAATAAATTTTCAATTTATCTTAATAAACTTACGCCTTGAACCGCACTTGCGTCGGTAGCCAATCGCGTTGTTAATGCTCCAAGATTGTTTTTTTTATCGTCAAAATAAGCGATTTCCTGGCTCATAAGCGCTTTAAACGCCATTCTCCGCAAACGTAACGTTAGGATCTCTCCTGATTTTGAAAACGAGGCACTTTGAAGAAACATTGCCAATCCTGCAACAGCGCCAATTGCAACGAATAAACCAGAAAATTTGTTGGCTTCTTTCTCCTGTTCTTTCAAGTCAGTTATACTAAACACTCCGAGAATTTCACTAAAAATAATCGCAAAAGCTGGCTGAACTCCTCCAGAGATTAAAGCCCCAAGACAACCAGTAACAATGAATGGCCATTCGGTTCTATTTAATTTCATAATTCGTTTAAAGGAAGCCTCCGGTAAGTCATCATTCTAAAAACGTCAAATGAGATAAAAATTCAAGTTGCTTGTTTTATCTTTACCTCTTCAGGTATATCATCTCCCGAGCTGATGGATCTCATTCTCTTCACCTTTTGACTAAATTGTCTGTTAATAGCATTCTCTTCTTTCGTATCTTCAGTATACTCTTCAATATCATATAATTCTTCATTTCTTTTATTCGTTTGAGTTGTTACCAATTGGTAATAAACACCTTTTTCTAATAGGAAAGTTTGTAAATTAAATTTTTTATGAAAAAAGAAATACCTATTTTCATTAGTTCTTCATGAGTTCCGTATTCTACTATTCGGCCATTTCGAAATCCTGCTATAGTATCAGCTGTTTTCACAGTTGACAGTCTATGAGCAATGACGAAGGTTGTTCTACCACTTCTCGCCTATAGAACAGAAACTATTTTCCTTAAAATTTACATTTAATAAAAAACTCACTTTATCTAAAGCAGCTTGAACTGTTGCTTCGCTTTCTGTATCCAATGCAGAAGTTGCTTCATCTATAATGATATGTTATTATTGAAAATGAAATAAGTCATTTCTAAAATTTTGAAAATATACTAATATACCTAAAAGAAGTATTCTCGGATTTCGAACCTGAAATGAAGGATAACACTCTGATAGGGATACAAGATGAAATTATTATATCATACTAAAGCTCTTGCAATGGCTATTCTTTGCTTTTGGCCACCCGACAATTGCGCTCCTCTCTCTCCAGCTAAAGTTTGAAATTTCTGCATAGAAAAGTTAGTGTGTGTGCGTGCGTAACGGTTGTATTCTATTTACCTTTGGTAACTGCATAATAAAATCGTACGCATTTGCCTCCTTTGCGGCTTTATAAATATCTTCTTCTGAAGCATCTTCCCTCCCAAATCGTATGTTTTCCATAATAGTAGTTGCAAATAAAATGGGCTCTTGCGATACTACTCCTATCTGCTGTCGAAGCCATTTTAAATTGTACTCTTTGATATTTATGTCGTCAATGTAAATCTGTGAAAGAATGAAATAATAATGCACATTCAAAAAGAGTAAAAAAATTCTTTCATCGTACGTTGCCTGCACAAGGATCATAGAAACGCTGAAGTAACTGTATGGTTGTTGATTTACCACATCCACTATTGACAGACCAAAAGATTAACTTTACATAAACTTACACCTGTTATGGCATATCCTTACCTTGAACCGACAAGTGCCGTTGTTTTTCCAACTTCTGCTACCAAATGTAGTCCATCTAAAACTACAACATCTGGTCTTGAGGGATAGCTAAATTTTATATTTAAAAATTTAACATCTCCTCTCAGTCCACCAGAAATCTTTTTGCCTGATTTGGAACTACTATCTATGGAAGGTTTATTATCTATGATTCTGAATATAGCATGAGCAGCCCCGCGCGCTGTTGCTAGATGCTGAAGGTTTGGAGCAGCATTTCCAAGCGAAAAAGCACCAATAAGAACACTGAAAAAGACAATCAGCAACTTTCCAGCCGAGTATTCATCCTGTCGTACCAGCCTACTTCCATACCAAAATGCTAAACCATACGAGCTAAACATAATGAGAAAGACAAGTCCAATAGATCCTCCATTAACGAATCCTTTCCTTATTCCAAATCCCTTAGCATTTTCTAATTCTGAATTATATCTGATACACTCTTTTTTTTGGCCACTAAATGATGTTACAGTACGAATGGCTCCCAAAACTTCTTCAGCTATAGATCCTGCTTTTGCATAGGCATTAAGCTCTTTGTTTGTCATCCAAGCACCAACCTAATAAAAGATTAGACTATTTATTGATACTGTATTAATAATGATATGATTGACAAACTTTGCTCATGACAAATGCTGCGCCCGCTAAGGCTGGGCTAACAGCCAATATAACGAGGGTTAATTTCCATCCATGCGCAAAGCCCATAATAACTCCTGTTAAAAATGCACAAAACCATTGAAAGAACATCGCCAGTTTATCTCCAATTCCTTCTTGAATTTTTGTCACGTCACTAAAAGATAAAATATAAGAACTAAAATTTTTAACACTTTCAGAAATTGAAACTTACTCAGCTAATCTTGAATTTAACTCCCCAGATTCGTGTGTATCGAACCAACCTATCTCTTGTTTCATGATAGAGTTAAATAGTGCTACACGAATACGTTGAGATTGCCGATTAGAAGAGATCATCCACAGTGATATTTGTAGATATCCAATTAGTAAAACACATGCTCCTATTACTATAATATAAAAGAAAGAGAGAACATTTAAAGCTACATAAATAGATTTACAAACTGGTGTAATATATTGCATATTTTCCCATTTCTTTAACAAGTGTACCGTTGTTATTCATTGGTGGCATATTTGTTGAGATGGTGTTATTACTTGTTTGATTAGCAGCTTGATTTGCAGACCCAATAAAGAGATCTGTCATATTTCCAAAAACAAGAATCATTAATGGCAAAGCAGACCCATGAGCACATCCGGCTAAAGTTCCTAAGATCATACAGACTTTGTCTTTGCTGTCAGCAAATCTGAACTGGGAGACATATTGAGAGTACAAAGGCTTATAAAACATTATAAAAATCACTTTACTCACCAATTCTCCTAAACCTACAGCATTAGCTTCAGTCTCTTGTTTTTCATCATTATTTTTTGGTTCCGAGTCGGCCTTAGCACTGGCGTGTGAAATTTCCACCGATTTCTTCATCTTTAGTAATCAGTGTCTAGCTTGTGATTTTAAAACTACGCCTTATATATAGTATAAAACAATGTGGGTCTGCTAGGTCAACACAACTAACATTATCAGTTCTTATCAGTAATTTATTATTTATTAACGTTATGCAAAACAGAGAGAATAGAATAATTCGAAAAAGTCTATTTTACTCTTGCTCCTTTTTCTTTTTTTGTTCATAATTCCATATACGGCCAATTTGAGAGAATCCTGTTATTGCCAGGAAAGTGTTGACCCAAAATAAACTCCAATTTTTGGGAATTATAACTAAGGAATATCTTGCCCAGATGCATCCTGAAAAATCAGATAGGTAACACACTGTCTATCTTATAATTAATCGGTTGATGACAAAAAGAGGTTTGCTTTGACACTTCATAACCTCTTATATAACCATCGCGAAAAAATGAAAATACCTGTTGCAGTCAGGGAAACGGATTGGGCGAGGCTCAAATTTTCAGCCGGTCGTGCATAGTCAGCTAGACCAGCTATAACTAATCCCTGTTAATACAATCAAAGTTTTATTACAGTAAATAATGCTTATTTAACCAATGTATACCCATTTGAAAGCTGGTGCCCAAAAAAAAATTGTTTTTGGACCTGAAATTACATGTTATTAATAACATCATATTGAAAATTATTCTTTCTACCTGCTTCATGTTCCCAAAACGGTTGTAATCTCCGTGGAACGAATTTACCAACGTTATTTATCAATGACCTATAAACAATCGACATTTTGTTCAACCGGTCACTATCGATACCGCTCAAGTTTGAGACCGGTTGATCAAAATGTCGTCGGAGCAGTTTTATTTAGACTTTTCAGACAAGAATGCTAAAAATAATGTATCTCAACACGAGGATTATTTAGAGGCTCTACTTTATGAGCAGGCTAGAAGTAAACAATTTTTGGTGAATCAAAATAATGCTGCAAGAGCTCGCTTAGGATTGTTGCGGCAAGACGTTCAGGATCGAGAAAAAGAAATTGCCAGAAGAAGATTGGCAAATTGTAGTTCTACTACTACAATAAGTCAAGACGCTCTCAATAAAATTTATCAAGAGAAGAGAGACTTAATGTTGCGAATTCAGTTAATAACTCGTGAAATTGATACTTGTGGTCATCAAGATGCACAGAAACCCCTGTATGAGTGTCGACCTCCACTACCACAGACTCGTGGTGATTCAAATATACTTGCAGGCTTTGCTCCAAATCGATTTGGAGGGGTTTGTCGCCCACCAGGCACTCCGCCACCTCAGCATTTATTAAACAGATCAAATGTGTTAGATACGCGGACCGACCGATGGGGATGTGAATATTGTACTTTTTTGAATGAACCTAGTGCTCGAAACTGTGAACAGTGTAATATGCCTAAGGGGAGCAAGCCCACTAAACAACGGAGTTCTTAATTATTTTATTTTATTAAAAACTAAAATTAAGCGATAGTATATCTACAACGGTAAGAAGACAAAAAAGAACAAACGCACTTTCTATTCTACGAAGACGATCCTTCTAAATCTTGTGGGGTTTCCGGGTCTTCGTCGTTGTAAATATTTTCGGCCTGTTTCAAGTTTAATGTTATTCATTTTTTTAACTTAAAAGTAAATCTTACCATTTGCCAAACTTGCATAATGTTGTCTTCGCTAACCGAACAAACAACCCAAGGTTCATTAGGATTCCAAGAAAAGTCAGATATTTTGGCTGTGTGACCTCCATGTATGAATAATAATTCAGGAGGCCCATCGTCAGAATCTTCAGGACTCTGTTCTTCACCGATTTTACTAAGATCCCATACGTGCAAGCGTCGGTCCGTACCCGACGAAGCAAGTATTGTTTCATTATGTGGGGACCATTGAACTTGGAAAATTTCATCTTTGTGGCTTTCAAATGAATGCAATTTTAATTTGAGATTACGTAAATCCCACAAGGCAACGGTTTTGTCAGCAGATCCGGTAGCCAGAATAAATTCGCTATAAGGATTAAATGACAAACAATTTACCTCCGCTGTATGAGCGTCAACAACATGAGAAGGTTTTTCCGTTTTACTTGATCTTGTATCCCAAATCATTAACTTTTGATCATCTGCTACTGAACCAAAGAGGCTTTCGTGTAATAAATGCCAGCTTACGTCCTCCACTACCGAATTATGACCATGAAATATGGTGTGAGCATCCACACAGCGTCCCTCTTTTGGAGCAGCATTTATATCCCATAAACAAATAGTATGGTCATCAGATGCACTTAGTAGGTTCCCATTCAAATTAGGATTCCAGGAGAGACCATACCCTTCTTTCTGATGACCTTTCAAGCGAAGATCTGGATGACATTCTCCACTTGGATCAGGCTTACTGGGATGTTTGGTGTAATCAAAAACTAAAACATCACAAGTAGGCGTCTTTGTTGCTATTACACAAGGGTTCTGCGGCATGTATCTCGCTCTGTTCACTTCTCCGTCGTGATTGATTTTGATCTCTATTTCAATTTTCCCACTAACTGATCCAAAACCTCCAAATTCTCCCCTCTCCATTTCATATTGCGAGGAATCGAATTGCGCATTATCATTGGGCAATTGAACGCTTGCTATTAGCAAATGATTTTGTTCATCAGATCTAAAAAAATATTTTAAATAGTTAGTATATTATGAGTTTGTGATATTCTTACGTATGAGTTCCAAGGATTAATCTATGTAAAGTAAAATCTTTCCCATCAGGTCTGGCTATGTCAGGTAACCACTGGGCAGTGAGACTCGGCCATTCCAGAGCGTGGGTCATGACCAGATCATATAAAAACGGCGTATTTTTCTTCCATATTTTATACTCTTCGTTAATAACTCTTTCTTCGACAGCATCGTCGAAACCTAATAAAAATGCATTATTAATACATTAGAAAGCCGGCTGTTGCATTATCGTATAAGCCGATTTTTAGTATATAACTATAAGCGAAAATTGTCACAGAATCATCTTTAAATATTGCTTACCTGGATCTTTCTCACCCATTTCCAATAGATTTAGCGTAAAGCAATTTAGCTCACAGAAGAAGCTTTCAGGAGAGAACCAAAACCAAAATGGCGCCAACGGGAACAAGAACGCACATCGAGTTATTTTCGTATTTGATTTCTACATGAAGAATTTACTTGTTCCTTTTTTCTAATTTTTTATGTCAAATATTGACGCTTCGGATTATTCGTATTGTTTCTTGAAATACGAAAATTACATTTTGAAAATGTCTACTTACCACGGTAATTTCAGAATGTTTTTCGGCTTAACTCTCATCAGTGATAATGGACGCTATTGAGTTGAGTGAGCCAGAAATAAACTATTTTACAGAGTTATTTAAAACTTGTGAATCCCGACAATCAAATATTGCAGTAGCTGAAAAAGTTACTAATCTCTTTGTGCTGTCTGGTTTGCCGTCCGATATCTTGCAGTTGGTAAGCCAATACGGTGGCATCTTCATCATAAACTAAATTTTTTCTTCGTTAGATTTTTATTACCTGCGGTATATCAGCTTATGGGGTTGAGAAAACTCAATTTTTCGTTGCTCTAAAGTTAATAGCTGCAGCTCAGGCTGGCAAATCTGTAAGTCTTCAAAATCTGAACGATAAGAATACAGCCGAAAATTTACCGTTACCACGTTTTAACGTTTACAAATCTCGAAGCAAAATGAGTGTTGCCAATAATAATAATGCTGATTTTGATGAATCACCTCCTACTGATGCCTGGGAAAATTTCGACAGTGAAGATTGTAGGGACGATAAAGGTTTATTAGGAAATGACGGTAATTCCTCCTGGACGAATGTAAGAACAGACTCCTCTTCAGTAACCTCAAGTGAAACTGATAGCATGGATGATATATGGACAATTACTGACGAGCAAAGGGACTATTACACAAAACAATTTCACACGATGCAACCTGATAGACAAGGCTCCATAAGTGGAGCAGTTGCGAAAGACTATTTTGAAAAATCTCGATTACCCGTTCATGAATTGGCTAAAATATGGCAGCTATCAGATCTTAATGGAGATGGTTTGCTTTCTCTAGAAGAATTTTGTATAGCAATGCACTTGGTAGTCTTGAGACGGAACAAAATTGACCTGCCTGATTCGTTACCATCGTCTCTCACACCTTACGTACCCCTCTCCGAAGAACCATTTGCTTCAGATCTTCCTCAAGGTTCAACAATGAAAAGAATCTCTCCACCAAGTCCCGTTATTTGGCAACAAGTAATTGATAGTAGATCTAGTTCAGCTGTTTCTTCTCCGTCAGTGAAGCCAACTAACTTTGATTTTGCGCCAATTGCACCTGATCCAGTGAGTAATTAAATTTACTATATTTCAGAGACAATTCGAAAATCGAATATATTGTATCTTCTCTGTATAATATATATATATATATATATTTTCACAAAGGAACATAATATCATGCAACCGGTTGCTGTTCGGGCTTCACCTACTATTTTAGATTGTATGTTTTTATGATTCTTATCGATCAAAGTTAAACTATTAATTAAACAGCAAATACCGCCGTAAATGATGAAACAGCAAGACCTAGACCAACACCAAAAAAAGCACCTCCTGGTAATTTATTTTTAAATCAAAACGTGTATTGTATTAAAAATTTAAAGGATCTTCTAATACAGATGGATCTACAGCTAATGTTATTTTGCCTCCCCCCATTACTAACGAGAGTTCAAAACATGCAAGGAGTTCCTCTATGGATAACACACTTTCTGGCGGTATATTTCTTCGGGGTAAATATAAAAGTAGAGATGATTTGAATATTGAATTGTGACAACTGCAGAGAACCTGGATTTGACGAAGAGTATGCCACCTGCTGTTCCTCCAAGACCTGTTGGGTCAACTTCAGTAACTGCTTACTCTTCCCTTGAAAAGGCAACAGCTAAGCAAACTATTTCCTCCTTGGAGAGACATAGACGAGCTGTATCCTTAGATTATAATCGAGTATAATAAATAGATCATTTTTTTAATTCCTGTTGATTTAAGCTTTCTGCACAGGCCAATCTAATTGATAGTGAAAGAGATCTAAGTCAACAACTGAAGAATGCTAATAGAAAAGAATTAATATCGATGTTGCGCAAACAAAAGCGTAGAAATTCTACACTAACAAGATTAAATACAGAATTAAACCAAGAATTACAGGAAGTTATGGAGCAGCGCATCGCTTTGGAGATACAACTTGAACACTTGCGACCTTTTACATAATTTCATCATGTATTTATTTAGTGCATATAGTATATCTCATGTCATACAACTAAACTAATCTAATCATCTTGATCCGAACATTTTCCAAAATTCACGGAATCGCGTTTCTCCATCATTTTTTTGAAGTCTACAACTTGATAAAATTCTTTTTTATCCGTTGAATGATCCTCCATATCACTGTAACAGAATACATTACTTTACAAATATTTGTGAAAAAATTACTAACGCTTCATAATAGGTGAAGTCAGCGAAGCAGCCCTTGAATGAGTCTATATTTTCGTGTATTAAATCCTTATACAGAGCTTCAGATTTTATACCACCCAAATAAAAAACTGGCATATGTCCACTCGGTAAGAGTTTGACTAGTAAGCCATCGTCAAGAAATATTGAGAGATCGGTTGAAGTCCTAAGAATTGTTATAAAATGCCATTCTCTATCATTTACAGGACTTTGACTGATAATTTTACGAATTGGGTCTTTGTTTACTCGAGCGAGAACATGAACTCGACCATCAAGTAAATACATTGAAAATCCAATTATTCTTGGCGAAGAAGATGGTATCTCACTCATAACTAATATAAGACCGTCTGAATTATTTCTCCATACTTTAAAACGAACAGTGAGGATAAATTCTTTAAACTTGAGATTGCTAAGTCGACTGTTTGTTAAATATGCATTATTCGTTACACGAGGAAAAGATACAATCTTTATTGGATAGTCACTTGTTGGGCAAAGTGACAATTTTTTGTTCCCTGCAAGGGGGCTATACAATCGAGGACTGTAGCAGCTTTTTATGTTATTCTTCGGCAAATCAGTGAATTTCTTCAGATATTTTTTATAAATTTCAGGCGAACCTCCAACAAATACGTGACCATTTCCCTCAAAATTTGTGAAATATCTTTTTAGTTCAGGCATCAACTTGACCTTAGTCGCTAAAAAATATCACAAGCTGAAAAAGTAAACGGGAATTATGTTTGAAACTCACCACTTCCTCCTAGTATATCATCCCCATTGTCATCTTGATTTAATTCGATTCTGACTACATTTCTTTTAGTTTGTTCAATTGATAATTCTAGACCGAATGTCTTAATTGGATAATTCTTATCCTTATCTTCGAATGGAATCTGGAAGAAGCTTGAATAATGTTTCCCATGAAGAAAGTTGATCTGTAAAATTAAAAGTATTTTCTGATCTTTTCAATATATCAAATTTGAGTGTATACCTTTTTATCTTTAAGTATGATAAAAATAGGGGACGTATTGTTTGCATCTTTTCTGATTAAAGTGAAGAGAATGCCATTTCCTTCAATATTTTTGAATAAATATGAATTATGAGGAGTACTATTAGTGTACGTATCCATAAGATAGCTTTCTCCATCTAAGTATTTCATACGAGGCCCCGGAGAATTCTTTTTGCTGAAAATCAAATATCTCCAAGTGTTAAGATCAATTAAATCTTATTATACATACGTATTTTTATAGTTTTCTACATTCTCTGCATCATCAAAATTATATAGAGAGAGCATGTAATTGTTGAATTCGATACCAGAGCATATACCGGCCTTGGACAAATTTTTCTCGAAGCCATACTCTGCTAAAAGTTTATTTATGAGAATTTCACTCTCCGGAATACCTCCGAAGTATATTTTTGTATTTGTATGATCGAAAACAAAATCTTCTTCACTGGAAACCGTGACGTTTTTAGATTTATCTCCCACTAATAACTTTACAAGGTTGGCCTGTCGTTCAACTTTTATTTCAACCCAGTCAGCCCTATCTGTGACATCATTTACTAATATATTCTTAACTGGAATTTCAAGATCAAGATATGTTTTTTTCTTTCCGATTTTTGTCACCAAACCAAGTTTTTTATCTTTAATTCCTAGCAAAAAGAAATCATTGAGTTCAATGTTACTACTGGTTGACGGACCAAAATACGCTAAAGTTCCTGAGACGCCTTCGAAAGGAAACACAGACATATGAAGTTTATTATGCACCATTTTTTCCGGAGTTACATTAGTTTCCTTTGGACTATAATGTGCTTGTATATAACTGGTACCATTAAAGTATATTGCTAAATCTGCATTCAATAGATTTCTCGCTGTTTCAATATGATGGCGCATTTCACTAAGCTTTGTTCGCATTTTATCCATAACTGTTTTCAACTCGTCAACGTTTGTTTTCAGAGTTTTCTTTTCTCTCATTATGTCCGCTTCGTGAGCCTCAGACTTTTGTAGATTGGATCCTATCTTGTTCAAATCATCCGTAGAATCTGAAAAACCATCCTGTAGTTGTCTTGCGTTAAGAAGAAAAGTTTTCAAATCGCCGTGTAGTTTATCCATTTTCTTTTTTCCAGCATTTACGTTTGACTGAAGAGAATCAGCCTCATCATTCAATTTTTGAATTTTTTCGGTCATTTCTGCAGCATTTATTTTTTTTCTGAGCGATTTATCGAAGTCGGCTTCGAGATCACGTGTTTCGTCTTCAATTTTAGATACAGAAGTAGATTTCATGTTAGCCACGCTCCTTTGCATATCTGTTGAATGATATATGTACAATTTTTTTAGCTATAGACAAAAGATATACAAACAGTGAATTTCTCCCAAAGATTCTCTTAGATTGGCGATTGTACGATTACTTTGTTGGGCAGAATTCAGAGCATCACTTTCCATATCTGTTGACTGAAAGAGATTTTTTTGAAGGAAGTTCATTATATATGTCAAATGCAAATTACTTTTATCAGAGACTCTTGAGACAATTCTAACGCATTTTTGGCTTCTTTTGAAGCATTATTGTACAAATTTGCAATAGTTTGATAGGCAGTGGATGCAGCATCGGCATAAGTCTTATTATACGTTTCTTTTAGCAACCTAAGAAAAAAATACTATATACACTTCTATGCTTTAATCATTTACACTACTGAGTATAATAATACATCTTGGTTAATTTTAAAAATATTAAAATACAAGCTTTATGAAATGAATGCGATTTGCTATACTACTAACATCGTTATTTCTTCGTGATCACTCATTAATTTTTTTGAATGACTAAATGCTTCCACACTCTTTTTATCCAAATTGTATTTGCTCTCGTTTAGTTCCTTATATAAAATATCTAAATCTCTTAAATTAAGAAATTTAGACCATTGTTCTGTTAGGTTTGATAGAGCATTTTCATTTTGCTCATAAGAGTTTTTACTTTCCATAAGTTTATTCTTACATTCACTGTGTAGTGTGAATATTGAAGAATTTATCTTTTTCAAACTCGATACTTGATTCATTAAATCAGTGACTTCTCCAGAAACTTCCTTTAGTCTGAGTTTAATCACTCCGGTCTTCCTATCGAGATTTTCCATTATATCACCACTTATATGTAATTTTTCAATCAGACGATTCAATCGCATTGTTAAAGAACTAACAATGTCGGAGTTGCTTTCTGTTTGATTTTGCAGAGCTTCTACGTCGCTTGTAACTAATTTATTTTATATAAAGTTACTTTAAACATTCTCATTATCAATTATTAACTTACGTGTTTGTAAAAGGTTTAATGTTGAATTAGTATACATCCAATCATTTTTGATGTCAACTTTATCTATTTCATCGAGTGCTTTTCTGGCATTCTCTAGCAAGTGATTTACATCAGATGCATTAACCCCTTGTTTAATTAATTTGTGTACTCTCATTACGTAGGCAACTGTTTTAGAAACTGACTCAAGCAGATTTTTAAGATTTAGATTTTTCCCAACACTGTCACCCAATTGTTGGCTTTCAGTTGCTAATATTGTTGAACGATGATGAACCTTTTGTATTGAGTCATCGAAAAGATCATTAAACATTTGGTGAAGGGTATTATTCTCTTTTAACATATCATTTCTCCAATTTTCATTATTAACTATTTCCATATCATCTACTTTTGGCTGTTGAATAGTACATATAAAAGAATGCTCTAGTACATTACTATGAAAAAATATTCTTACTGAGAGTTCTAAAACTGTTTCATTAAGTTTTCTGAGGCGAGTGAGAGTCGTTACACTTACGTGTGTAGCATCTAAATCGTCCTTAACCGAAGTGATATTTTCAAGAAGAACTTTGGTGTCGCTGTGATAGTAAATATTTCTGTTTCTGGTACCTTACTATATTTAATACTAACTTAACCAGGAGCATAACACATTCATCACATATTCGGCATTTATTTCCAACCGCAAGCCATCCAGGTTTACATTTTTCACATTTATCACCTGTACGACCTTCATCACACATGCAATCTCCTGTTTCTTTATTGCAACTTTTAGCACCGTTCTTATAACAGTCACATTCTAAAGAAAATTAAACTTTATAATTAAATTATTTGAAAGCAAGAAGGTATATACTGTAACAAAGTGTTGAGCTTTGTGAGTTTAAAGGGGTTCCGTAATAACCATCTTTACAGCTGCTACAGCTTCGACCACTTAAAAGGTTACTTTTACATGGGCATTGTCCAGAATTAGCATTACAACTGAAAGAAGAAATGTTAATAACATAATATTTAAACAAAAAAAATTATCTAACGAATTATTGTGCGTTAGCTTTTCCGGACAATTGCATGGTTCACAAGTGAGACTATTGGCGAGATAATGATCAGTCTGAAAGTATATTACTTTATGAATAGAAAGATTTTTAAAGTAAACTTACTTCACAGGAATCGCAAAACTTTCCGACAAAATTCTGTTTGCATTTGCAAACACCAGTTTCAGAATCACATTTCTCAGTTCCCTTAGAATCACATTGGCATTCTGAAAAATTTTAAAACTTTAAATTGCTGATAAATTCCTAGACCAGATGGTCTCTTTACTTTGACAATTCTTTTTGATTATAGCATCTCCGAAAAATCCATCTAAACAACGTTCACAATTCCAACCAGTCGAATTATTCAGACAGTCTAAACATTTTCCAGTCTGTCTATCACACGGAAATCGGATACTCTCATCAACGTTGGAATTACATTCACATTTTGTGCAATTGCTTTCCATTGCATTACCGAAGTAGTGAGGAGCACAGCTGCGTGATAAAAAAAAAATTATAATTCCCAACAGAAACTCCCCTATACACATTTACATTTCGCATTTTTCTCCCATATACCCTTCGTTACATCCCACACATTCCATTTCATTTCCGTTCCATGGACTATTTTTACAGGTTCTTGCGTTACTGTTGAAAACATATGTTTAATCTAAAGCTTTACTACCTATACTAATAGATCTTACCTGTTTTGTTCCGTTGGACAAGCACACTTGACGCAATTTCCAGTGATTCTATCAATACCTTTACCATCGGCACATTTCATACATTTTGGTCCAGTGAATCCCATCTCACAATTCTGAAAAAGATTACATCTAGCATATTTTCACACTTGCAAAACTCCCTAACCTTGCAGTCTCCAGTTAGAGGGTCACATTCCGTAGATCTTCCATTACATTTATCAAGGCATCGTCGACAGATACTTCCGTCAATGTAATATCCATCATCGCATCTCTAAAAAAATTTTAATGGAAAGAGTTTATTCAAAACTTGTGTGTAATATATTATACATTAATAATAATTTACCTCGCATGAATTTCCAACAAAATGAGATTCGCATTCACAACGTTCTACATTTTCAGCAATATTTCCAGTGCCAGTTTCATCAGCTGAATCTAGATATACTCCTTTAAGGGATACTTTCTCGACAGGAATCATCCAATTTGCTTGAATCTGAATGGACTCCACATTAGATAACAGGCGCATGAAAGCACTCCTATCAACTTCACTTCCGTCCATATTACTGAAACTAGTCTGTAAAATACTTTATTAAAAAATTTTTCCTGGTGCATAAAAACACTTATATACTTCATTTATATCAATAATATATTCCTGTCCCACATTGGGCAAATGTCGGCCTTTTAAATTTAGTTTAACAGTTTGTTCCTTAGACTGAAGAGTTAACATATTTATAATTTATAAACAAAATTTTTAAACTTAAATTTACCTGAATTCGTACGATATCGTATTTATCCACACCAAAAGTATTTCCAGATGTTGACATTTCAAAATTTAATGTTAATATTAATTTTCCGCCATATGATTTCAACATATTTCCTACGTATTCCTTTGGAGCATGCCAGAACCAAGTATAATTTTTCATTGCATTTTTCATCAAAACAAATGATGTATCATTCTGAGAATTAGCCATCAAAGTTTCATTCACATCATTTGATAACTTCCAGTCCTGTGCAGAAAATATTTTGATTCGTCTCAAAGTCGACGAATCACAAATCATACTTCTATCAAAGCAGAAACATTTGGTACAACCAAGCTTATTTCTATCCTCCAAATAAAAAGTTGATTGTTTACATTGATCGCATCTTTCGCCATAAACATTTTCCTAGTAAAGTATATACAAACATGAAGGGTGTCAGTATTTTATTCACTATATAACACTACGAGAAAATAATTAATCACAGAAACTTACTTTGCACAAGCAAAATCCGGTTTTTTTATCGCAAACATTTTCTGTAGTTCCCTTCTTGTCACAGTTACACACTTTGCAACTGGGAAAATCAAAAAAGCCGTTAAGACAAATGCCACAATTTCTTCCTGTCGTGTGAGCTTTACACTGACATTGCCCTGTTGTTGAATTGCAAGTTTCAACTCCATTCGTGCCCTCAATATTGCAATTGCAAGGTTTGCAACCGTACAATGTAGAATTTCTACTATAATGATTTTCAATACATTTATCACAATCTTTGCCAGTTGTTCCAAAAGGACATATACATTCTCCGGTAACTGGATTGCATTTCTTTTTACCACAGTTGCATTGTTTACAATTCGGGAATCCAAAATAACCCCTTTTACAAGCTGTACACTGGCGATTTACTACATTTTCTTTGCATTTACACTGACCAGCGAATTTGTCACAAACAATATTTACGGAACCCAAAGTGTTACATTCACATTTCAGCAATCCATCATTAAAATTTGAAGTTAAAATTAAAGCTGATTTTAAACAGAAATCGCTATCATCAGACTTGATATCAAAATAGTTGTTTCCCCTACACTCCTTAACGTATTGCTCTGTTAGCGGGAGATGACTATGCTCGGGAAGCTGAGAGATATCTCGATTTTCAAATTTGTTGTAAACAAGAATTGAATCCTTTGAAAAAAATAGTTATGAAAATATACAAGAGAACAAAAAGATACGCACCAAGTAAAATTTATTATTACGAGGCGGTTGAAAAGTTATTTGACTTTGGCCATAATCCTGAAAATAGCTATTTTCTAATTGAACTTTTTCTAGACATCCGAAAATATGATTGCAAAACTTCGTTTCAAGTATGCCCTTACGTGGCACTAAATCAGCACCATCAATAATAACTTCACTTTTAACAAAGCTATCAAACGGTTGGTAATATCTAATATATATGTCATGATGACCAATATTTGATGTTTCGAAATTTTTTGTCAAAGGTTGCTGAAAAAGATCAAAATACAGTATTTCTATTATTCCATAAGTGAGACTTATACCGATAAGCTATGCCGCAAAACAAGAGGCTGATTTGGTGGATGATAGTCTTTAAGAGTAATAGCATTTATTTCGTCATTCATGTCAATATATGCAATAGGAATCGGAAATTCCAAATCAACGCATTTCCCATTTTTGTAAATGCATGAAAAACGAGGCTCAATAACACTTGGATGCCAAATAGATAAAGGAATGGCATATAGTTTCTCTATACTAATTTTGTCAGGAACATCTCTGAAATTAAACAAAACATCTCCAGCCTTAAATGAGTGAATAACGCTCATATATTCATTGTTGTCTGTACTATTCCATTGGACTACAGCTCGACAAGAAAATCTATAATTTAACACAATTAGTATTTTTCAATTATCTATTACTTCACTTACTGAAAATTACAAGGATAAAACGTAGAATATATTTCGTGCTCATTCAAGTTCTCAGAAGACACATAAATCGATGAAGTATTTCGTACATCTAAATGACTTTGATACTCTATTATAATCACATATGGTTGTGATTTCCTTAAAGACAAATTTATTTCCTGTTTATTTGAATCAGAGCTCAAAGAGTGGTCGTAAGTATCTAGAGGAACATAGGAGAAATTCTTGCACCTGAAAGTATTCATACATAGATATAAAAAATATAATAAAATATGTACAATCTCATACATACATGTCGTCATCACTGCCTTTACAAGGGCGTTCAATTACTTCTGTAATCAAGGCCCTATCTGACTCAGCAGTTCTGTATAATTTTGGTTGGACCTCAAGAAGATCCTGAAGATTGAGAATTTAAAATTTTGCCTCTCTTTCTAAACTTACTTACCAAATAAACATCATTGTCAGATTGAAAGTAAAACCTGTATGTACCATTCTGCTCAAATATGACCTCTCCAATAGCTCTAAGGGTAAACTCAGCACTATCTCCAATTAAAGCAAAATCTTTCGGCTCTTTATAATTCAGAGAATTTGGTACTCTCTGTGTTTTATACGGTTTTGAAGTTCATTATTATTTTATGATTCGCATACTAACGTAAGTAATTGCCAACTTTCGAAGGGATAAATTTATCGGAGAATATTTTATAAGTATCGTATAAGCACCTGGCTTTGGTATCTCAACCAGGAGAGAAATTTCAATCTGAAAAACATGTTTCCTCCATTTAGCTGTGACAATTTATTACAAATATCTCACATCTTTATTCAGTAGAATGTATTTTCGTTCATCTTTCTGTTCGACAGGTAGGCTTGCATCATCTTGATCAATAGCATTTTCAAATTGACTTGTTAAATGGTGCAGATTAGGATAATAATAGCCATCAATTATCCTTCAAAATATCCTTTCATTAGTCTTGATTTAAAGATTACAGTATCTCACTTACTTGTCACATTTGTTGCCTGAAAACCCAGTTTTACAAGTGCATCTACCTCCAGCATCACATTCGTCATTGATTGAACCAGTGACAAAACACTTGCATGCTTAATAAAACGAAAAATTAAGAGGTGTTAATGTTTGCTGAACTACTCATAAACATAACAGCAAACCTGAACATCCAAAAAGGTTACTTGGATCAAGATTATAAAAACCACTTTTACATTTAAGGCATTTTCCTTCTTGAACATATTTTTTACAGAAGCAATCTCCGCCTTCTTTACAGGAGTTTTCAAAAACTCCTAATGAATTACAAAAACAATTTTCACATCCAGTTATACTTTCTTGAGTCATGTTGTAAAAGCCACGTTTGCATCGGTCACAAAGTTGACCTTCAACATTTTTTTTACAGGTGCATAACGACTCCTCAACAGAGCCTTTGCAAAAACTGGAAGAGGAGATATCTGCTCCTATTTTCTCTGAGCCTTTTTCATTGCATACGCATTCTGAAAGAAACATTTTAGTATCATGCTTCTGAAGAGCTTAGCTGTTAAATACCAATACACTTGGGAAATATGAATAGACCAGGTATGCATTCATTACACTTTCTTCCTGTAATCTTATTTTTGCATGTGCATACTCCATTACTATCACATCGATCATACGATGAACCCTCCTTATTGCATCTACAAGCTGAAAGTTAACATATGATTTTATATTATGACAATAAATCTATATTGTAATATTTTACGTTCGCATTGCATGGGTTCGTTTGGTTGTTTCGAATTCGCATTAAAATATCCGACTTCACATGATTCACATTTATCGCCGTTGTAACCATCTTTACAATTACATATGCCGTGAATATCACAAGATATAGACTCTTCTTTCGTTCCCAAAGTATTACATTGGCATTCTTCACAAAATCCTCTTTGCTTGTAAAAACCATCAGCACAGTTCTGACATTTATCTCCACTGAACTCTGTTCTACAAATACATTCACCAGTGATTTTGTTACATTTTGCCTTTGTCTGTCCTAGAGCATTACATTGGCATTCTGAAAATTATACAAGCTTTATAAATAACAAGATTTCGAATGAGAAGCTAACTTTCACAGTCAGGAAAGTTGAAGAAACCATCTGCACATCTCGAACAGTTATCCCCTGTATAAGCTGCTTTACAGAAACATTTTCCATTTGTTTCATCACACACCTGGTTACCCTCTGAGAACCGAGGGTCACAGTCACATTCTGAAAGAGAGAATATATAGCAGAGAGAGGGATTTAGTAAATACATACTTTGACATGACGGAAAATTCCAGTAACCTGGTTCACATCTGTCACATTTCTCTCCAATAACATGAAGCTTACATTTACAACCAATAATATTATTTTGGCAGTTGTCTTGATTTCCAACAGATAAAGTACCGTTAATATTGCAAGGACACTCAAAACAATACTCAGAAATGCTCGCATCAGATTTGTAGTATCCACTTGCACAGTCCTGACAAAGATCACCAGTATATCCCTTTTTGCAATAGCATTTCCCAGTTTCAGGATCACACTCGCCTGTATAGTATGCAGATTCATAGCAATTGCACTCAACACATCCATGGAAAGATGAACGTCTATCCAAAGTGTATCCATACTTGCATTTTTCACAATTTACACCTTCAGTGTTGTCACGACATTCGAGACAAACACCACCACCTTCATATTCGTTTCTCATATTGAGAGATAGATGGAGTTTACTAACTGTTTCATTGTAAATGCAGAAATCAGAATGACCATGACAGTTACATTCTTCGCAGGCATTGGTATGTGTTTCATTAGCAGGCATCCATTTTCTTTGACGAAATTTTGGCTTACATGTATCACAATTATCGCCTTGAGTGTTATGCTCACATTCACATACATCTTTATCTCCTCGTTTGTAGCAGTCCTGACCATGGCCATGACACATGCACATACCACCGATTTGAAGGGCTCTAACACTATAAAAGTACTGAAAAAGTAAAATTTTTTAGAGTTAAAAAATGCACTTAAAACTTTTAAACTTACTCGGTTGTAAATTTTTTCATCATAAGCTCCAAAACCAAATTGCCCATAGTTATCTCGTTTAACGGCCATGAATGAAAGTCTTACATCAGTTGCTTGAGTGAAATTTAAAAGTTGCCTATTGGAATGACACTTTTTTGTATCTCCCATAGCCCTACAGTAGTCTCTAAAAAGGGGTACAGTGAATTCGTGGAACTGATTTTTTCCCCATCCACGATTTTCTTCAAAATCACACTTAACTTCATTAATATTAGTTATTTTCTTAACCCAATTTCCCTTTCCAAAATAATTGTCACAGTCCTCCACGGATTGAGTTATATAATACCAGGGTGTGTATGTTTTCCCCCCGTCTGATGATCTGTGAATAGCTAGGGTCTTTGGAAAGAGACCATATCCCGATTCTATGTGGATGTATGCTACATAATACGGCTGCAAAAAAGATTTATAAAAATGTATGTTTTATCCCAAACAATTTTTATCAACCCGGTTATATAATAGGCCGTTTTAACAAAGAAATAGATAAGCCTAATCTTTTACGCTCTATAAATGTATTTATAGGTTGGGTGCAATAGGTCGGTTAGAGTAGTCTCGTATCGGCTTACAATTATACTCTAAGACGTGCCACCGCCCTTTGAATACTCTTAGATTTAGCTTCTTATTCATATAATAGTTTTTTGTAAACTAGATTTCTTAATGAAAAATAATAACTAGTACCTGGTCAAAGTGAATTGTCAGATTAACTTTTTCATAGTCATCCTTATTATCTCCACTACTAAATGGAGGACTCATCCAACTACCTTTCTCTCCTGCAATAGCGAATTCTGGTTTGAATAACTCTTTAGTATCAGATGCTGGATCATTCCACCATTTGCATCTTCCACATGTAGGCTGCTTTCCGCTCAAACCAAAAAGCCTGCAATATTCTTCTTCTCGTTCTTCACCACAAGTTGCGGTTGCTGTTATTTTACTTCCGGCCGCCAAATTGAACAATTTGGGTACTAAGAGATTACAATTCAGCCGTTGAATAATCGCCAGAAAGACAACCACGCTTACCAGCATCTCGAAGACCAATACTTTCACCTAGCCTGTAGCGTGTTTTAAACTGGCACTAATCCTATATCTATGCCAGACCACAAGGAAAAGTAGGCGATTCGCGCGTCTGCCAAGGAACAGTTTACTATTGGTTTCACCTTTACAAACTAGGGGTGTCAGTTTAAGATAAGGAATTCTCAAGGGTAATTAATATCATATTTTATAATAAGACAAAATTTATTGATAAAGTCAAAAATATTGAATTAATGAAGTTATTTAAACCAGTTAAAATATTTTTTCTCCTTCTTCTCAGGTATTTTTTCATCATATCCCTCGTCTTCGCGACAGTCAAGTATATCAAAAGCTGATTGTATTGGTAAATTAAGAACAGTTTTGGATAGTGGGAGACAAAAGATATTATTCTCATTGTTTGCTATTAATTTTAAATCAGTTAGTAATTCAATTGCCTCGCGAGAATTGAATTTTATTTCTCTTCCAGTTTTTTGGAAAATCCAACCCTCAATAGAACTTTCTAACAACGCTATTGTAATTCCATTAACTTCACTTTTTAGGGAATCAATGGACAGTAAAAATGAATAAACGAGGAGAATTTCTTTTAAAACTTCATCCTCGGCTCTATCTATTATAAGAGTGAGCAAACCCTAAAACACAAAATTCAGTCATAACAGAATCAACCTATTTCATAAATATACTAACCCTATTGTTTGCAATATTTTTACTATAAAGAACTTTATGCAGTTGTAATAAATATCGGTTTTTTTTGTTTTGGTAAATTCCAACAGAATGAACAGTTTTTATTGCTGTGATTAGGATTAAAATGATCGGCCAAGTAACATTCATTTGAACAAGATAAGCTATTGCTTGCGATAATCCTCCAAGTCCAGCTAATGCTGCGCTTATACCAATAACAGTTTTATCGTATCGAGACATGCTTATTTTAGCGTCCGGAAGTAATTGTTCCAGAGAACCGCTGGAAATCTAAAATACAAGAAATAAAATTATCTATGTTTTAAAGAAACATTAACAAACATCTTTAAAAGCTTTTATGGAGAGCTTGTTGTCCTTGCGTAACCTTGAGGCAATAACGACTCTCTTGTATTGTTCACTTGCAGATGGTTTTCCAATAGCGGAAAGAAGTTGACGAAAAATAGATTTTGAATTAACTTTTTCTTTTCCAAGAGTCCAAAACTTCATTATATCATATTTGGATGAATCAACTTCTACTCTTACGCCTTCGGAAGTTGAATGTTTTGAGAGGGATCTTTTGACATCGTCATCTGGAATTTCTTTAAAATTAGCTTTTGTTAAGACTTCACTCAATCCTTTCATTAGCCAAAATTCGTTGTCTAAGCATTCTCGCCTTGTCCAATTATGAGTTGCTAGCTTATTCAAATCGGGATTTATGGGTTCGAAGAGAGACTATAATTTTATGAATGTTAATAAATGCATCACAAATCTAAAACATACGAACTTTTAAATCATTTAACTTTCCATTATATTTTCGATTAGCGTAAATTCCAAGCCGAAAAGAAACATCTTCAAACAATTTTTTATTATTCTTGTTTAATAAATCGTCGTCCTGTACCAAATAGCGAAAGAGTGTATGTTTTGTTAGAGGAATAAATTCCTCCTTTTCCCTAAATAATTCTTCTTCACTCTTTGGGAAATTCAAAGTGGTCGATACTTCAGTACACAAGTTATAGGAGGAGGTCGAAAGAAATCTATTGTTAATTAAACGATAAACTTTTTTCAGATGTCCGGTCGAAGATCGTCTGCAAACCAAAGACGCCATTTTGAAGAGAGAATAATATTTTCTGAATGTTCAGTGTCGTCATCTATCGGTATCGCAATGCATGGTGGGATGGCAGAGCTGCAGTTGCGAACAGCGATAGGAGAAAATGAGCGTCTGCTTCGTGTGCGGTAGTAAGATAACAGTGACTTATAAATTAAGTGCTAAACAAAGGCAAAACGGAGAGGCTTATTTCCCTTTTTTGGAAAATCATCAACCCCCTGCTGGGTTCGGTCAATTCGCTGAAGATTCTTGTAAATCAGTTTGTACAGTATGCTATATGTTTCTTCTACAACAATGGGAAGCTTACGAACGTCAGAATACTCCGGCTGTCAAACGTTTATATTGGTTAAAACGATGCGACGATAAACAATTTGTTGGAACGGAATATACAAGAGTATCATCGCAAAATCACCAACCCCAACTACCCTTGCAAACACCTGGTGATCAACAGACATTTGTCTGTTTCTTGTGTGGTGCCCAACATTCACAAGTTTCTGCTCGTTTTATATATTCGCGATCTCATGCAAATGGGGAACCCTACTTTCCATTTCTTGAAGAAACTAAACCTGCGAAAGGAGCGTCAGCTCTTGACCTCCATGGGATGACAAAAGTTTGTATTGGTTGTCAACGTTCTTTACACAGACAATGGAGAGCTTTCGATGATTCAAATGTGTCAGACGAATTGAGAGTATACGAAGTTGATGGTATGAAGACGAAGAAGACGGTAGGTGTCCGCCACCTGTTTGCCACCTTTGAACTGCGCGAAATGGCGATCGTATCGCCACCTGTTCCCAAATTTAGAAACGATTACAATTTGAACACAGAATTAATTATTCTGTGATTACGAGTGACTAGTGAATAACTATTATGGGTAATTTGCAAAGTAATCGTTCGCGATATATGATCACCGCGTTAATTCCGGTTCGTATACTTTAATAAGTATGAAATCAAATTCTGCTTTTACTTTGTTATTTAAAAAAATAAATTTAGTATCAGTTAAGCGGTACATGAGAACCACTCCAGTGCAATAGTACTAAAATGTGCACTCGTACACTATTTGATTTCAGTTGGATTCACAAGATGGAGCACCTGTAGAAATAGCCCCACCTACAGATGCAAAACATGGAGATGTCAATGATTTGGGAAATGAAACAGGTAAGTAAACTTCTCGCGTGACGTTACCTTGACAACTGATTTCCAGGCGTCAGTTTAAAATATCCACAAGGCGTCGCCACCAATGACAAAGATGTAGCTACTTTTTGTTAAACAACAAAGAAATTTTTTAAATACTTAAGAAATCAGTTTTTCAATTCCTATTCAATACCTAGTAAAATTATCTGTTAGTTTTATGTACTTTCCCTGTTTATTTAGGACAGTTAAATTTCACATGTTTTTAGTTTACGAACATTTTCATTTCTGTTAGGTTTACCAAAACCTACTAACACATCTACGCCACCTAGTAGTTCGACAAGGAATTCATCAGGCTTCGCTGCTGCTCTTCGAAAACTCGCCAAACAAGCAGGAGATGGCGCTGCCGGTATGTTCAGTCCAATGCTTTCCAAACGAAAATTTTGTCAAGCAGCTTTCTGGTTATATTTATTGCGTATTTTTTTCAGTCGATAAAAAATCATCTTCTCCTCCAATTCATAATTTAGACAAGTCATCATCAGACACTAAAAGTTGGGTAAGTAAACTGAATGTTTTGCGTTTTTAACGCTTTAGCGTAAGGGCGCGCCGTTTTTAAGTTGGCCGTTAGAGCGTTAAACGTTCATCAGACATTTGCATTCTCATCGCTGCTGCTTTTAGCTGGCGTCTTTTTTCATCGCCTTTCTTCTACTGTTCTGTTCATTTTACCACCTTAATCTGTTCTAATCGCGATAAGAACATTTATCAAAACATTTTACTCTGACTGGCGCCAACGAAATAATTAACGGAATATTTTCATGCGAATCGATCGCCTTGTAAGTAGAACACGCTTCGGAAAACGAACGCGCTTACGTATAAATATACAGCATATATATGTTATATGTATTTATAGAATATACATAATAAAGATTTAAGTAATATATATATATCTGTGTATCAATGTGTTATATACAGTATATATAAATTTATATATATATATGGGGGAACTCTATATGTATGTAATGTTTATACGTTTCATTCTGCATATTATTGTACATATGCATTGTATCTACCATATTTATATGTCAATGGGTTTGTTATCACTGAATTAGAGAATGTTATATTTAGTTTTAAAATTTACATTCGAATTTAAAGAATCATACTAATCTACGGATTATTGATATACTTTCGGCAAATCAATCCAATGAGTAAAAGCCAACGTTCTGTGTTTTTAAGTTTAAAGATACCAATTGAGATTAATAATGAAAGTGTATTTTTTGAGGCAATAGTTTTTGTTAAACAGGGAAAACTCTGCGAATGCATTCACGAATCGTGATCGTGGATAATAGGGTAATTAATAATTAAAACATTGCAATTTTCTGCAGACTACCGAAGTTTCTTCCAGTCCAAATCAACAACAGTCAATGAGTTCAGCCGGAAGCAATTCCCGACCCTTAGAAGAAAGGGGCTTTCAACCTTATAGACCAACAAGTGGAGCATCAGTTGTTCCGTCTTCATCATCAACCGTTCCAGTTTCTGATCATGGAAGTGTTCAAGCATCTCTTGGGGGAGGCTACGATCCTTCTTCCATGTATGCTGCTGCAGCAGCAGCAGCAGCATATCAACATTATCACCCAGCTTTCTTGCATTCCTTGCACGCCGATCCGCTTCTTCTCGAACGATATCGATTGATGCAGCAGTCTTCTCTCATGCCTTACGCAGCAGCCGCAGCCGCAGCAGCAGCAGCTGCATCATTGCCTCAGCACTCCCTCCATCCAAGCCTGCCTGTAAGATACGGTGACATCATGGCCAGTCAACAACAGCCGCTCGCTTTAACGTCGTCTTCTAACCGAAAAAGTGAAGAAAACGCTCGTCGAGACAAAGAAGAACGAGAACGCAGGGAGGCAGCCGAGCGGCAAAAGGAATTAGAAAGGAAACGCGAGAGTGAGAGGCAACAACGAGAGCAACAAGAAAGACTACGGCTGGAGCGTGAAACACTCGCTCTGCGGGAAAAATACAGAAATGCTTTTCCTCTTCATGATCAACTGAGTGCCTATGATCCTTTAGCTAAAGCTCGAGATACGGCAAAGTGGGCTCAGCAACAGCAGCAATTGCAAGAAGTGGCTGGGCGTCATAGCCTTATGCAACAACAATTTCTCCACCATCAGGACGCCTTACTTCGTAATGAGCGTAAACGACCTCTTGCATCGCCGAAATCCAGCTCTCAACTTGGTGAACCTAATCAAAAAATAATGCGGACGACTCCTCCACACGCACTTCATCGGCCGTTTCTTGAATCGACACCCACTTCCTCTAAAACCTTTGTTGCCAATGGGTTTGATGGGTCTCCAAACAGAAAATCACCAGAAAAACGAAGCAGACCAATATACGAACCGATCTCGCCTGTTCCTCCTGTAGCTTCTAATGGCTGTAAAGAGACACCGAAATCGACAAAGACTAACGGTCTAGTCTTATGTGTTGAAGAATTTGGGTTATCACCGCCCGATATTGATGCCGATGAGCTGTGCAAGGGATCAGACTTCAAGCGAAAGGTTGCTTTTTTAGCGGATGCTTGTGATCTTAGACCGGTTGATCGAGATGTTCGAATAATAATGGATAAAGTTCGGCAAGCTTGTGATATTGATCACAAAAGGAGGGCTCAACAGCTCGATGGTGTAAAAAAACGACTTGAGGCTGTTAAGCTATTTAATGAATCTACGACGGCTATAAGTCGAGAATTCGCCGAACAATTCCATGAATCAGTTTTGGCAACAACTATACAGCAGGAAAGGTCACGACAAGTAAAACTGAAAAATGATGACACAGATGACGAAAACATTTCCCTGTCTTACAAATGGCCTGGTGTAGAGGCTGTGGTAAACGCTTACTGCAAGCATTTACAAGGTAAAGAAAGAATATCAGCGTGCGCAACGCAACGCCTAATGTCTTATTGATCGCCTTTTAATATACATTACAGAGCAGCAGGCGGAGAAAAAAATTTTACAAGAAAATTGCTCTCGCTTACAGACCGACAATGAAAGTCTAGCGAGAAAGTGTGATGATTATAACTCGGAGATAACTGTTAGATTTAGCTACTTTTGTGAAAACCATAATAATTAATTTATCCTTTTCAGAAACTCGTCACAGAGAAAACGAAACTTGAAGATGAGCATAGAAGTTTTTTGAATTCTATTGAACATTTAAAGAGGACTTTAAGACTTCTTTGTTCCTAATATATTGAACTGCTTTCCCTTTCGTAAAACTGTGATAAGACGAACAGTGCCGCCCTCTAGTGGCTGTGTTGGTGCTCACTGCCTTGTGTTGTCTCACGCACTGTCAAGGTCTCCACATTTCTTTTCATTGTTAGGCTTAATACAGTATTTGCACTCAAAGATATGAAATATTTTTAAATCAAATGAAAAACTAGCACAAATATGCAAAGCATATAACAGCACCTCGATAATATACGTACGTGTATGTATACAAAGAAAACCAAGCAACTAATCGTACGTATGAAGACTCGTTCATAACTATACTGAATTACATCTAAATCAAGTTATCAGTATAGCAACAAACTTGATCAAACCACTACAAATGATCATAAAACAACGCATCTTCGTTTCTTGTCTTTCTTCTTGTTCGTTTGAGTGTTCAGCGCCGCCTCTTGAAGTTTCTTATCTCTAATAAGCCTCAACAACGTGAAGAAGCTCTGTTTTAATTTATTGGTAAGATTCGAAATCACGAAAGGGAGGGGAAGATTTTTACTTTTAAACATTTATCTTCAGATTGCAGTTAGCACAAAATAGGTTCATCCAGTATGAATTGAATGGAACTTAAGTAATAATAAATAAACTCAAGCTGATTTGCACGCGTTTTATTAGCTTATGGCATGCTGTTAGAGCTTGCAGTTTTACACTTATTTTATAAGAAACGAGATTATCATACAATTCGTTGAACGTATCTAATAAGTATAATTCAGTAAATCTTACATTATAGAATGCAGCATTTTTTCCTATGGCCTTTCTTCTTTTCTGATGATTCCGGTACTCTACTGTCTGAGGGATCTAATGCTCTTTTGCGATCTCTAATCAGCCGCATCAAATCGTAAAAAACCTGTGGATAATACATGCATACATCATGCCATTTCACACCATAACAAATCACCATGCATGTTATTAGTTTTTTCACTGCATTTATCTAGGGATCTTATTTAGAATTACCTTGTCAACATTATGTTTTGTTTTGGCAGAAGTTTCAACGTAGTTGACTCCCCATTGTCTTGCTCTTTCTTCAGCTGCCTCAATTGTTACAACTCTTTTATCATTTAGGTCTTCTTTGTTCCCAACTAGAACGAATGGAATGTTCTCGTCAGATTGTTTCACCCGTAAAATTTGTTCCCTAAAAAGAATAATGAAATCATAGTGATAATATATTAAATTTTAAGATTTTTACCTAAATTCCACTGTTTGTTGAAAACTGTCCAACTCTGTTATTGAAAAGACACAGAGAAATCCTTCTCCAGAGCGAAAATAATTGTCCCTAATAGCTGCATAATCTTCTTGACCAGCAGTATCCAGAATATCAATTTGAACTTCTTCACTATCCAATACAACTTTTTTCCTGTACGAATCCGCTTTGGTAGGTTCGTAGTCTTCCACAAACTAGAATTTACAATTTAAAATGGTCACGCATTTTCCCAATAAAAAATTGTTTAGAAGCTATCCTAAATATGTAATAAGACTAAAGTATAATGCTTTACCTCTTCATACATAAACTGTAGAGTCAGAGCACTTTTTCCAACGCCTCCTGAGCCTACCATAATAACTTTATGTACAACAGATGGAGGTTGTGCCTTATTCTTCGACATCTTGGATATCTGAGGAAGAAATTATTAGCTTAAGATATAGACTATTTGACAAACTGAAGGATAGATAAAGTACTCTACTTTGAAGATTTCGATTTCCTCAATAAAATTTAGTCATCAACCACCGGTAAAAGAGATAGGATAGATGTGCTTACCTAGCTGTGAACAATGTCAAATATTGGAACCTAGAAATCGATTGACTTATTTCAAATGTTTAAGAAACAAACTTTTAAGAGAAACTTCCGAGCGAAAAACTTACAGCTTTGCTAAAGAGAACAACGGAAGGAAAGCAACATGGCGGAGGGAGTATTTATTTTTTAGGCGTTAAAAATTAAAATAAAATTTTTGGGGCACAGAAAATTTCATTATGATTATACTGTAAAAATTTCAATATTTTTATTCCAAATAATTTTTTATATTTTTTGAGTTTCGACCTTTGACATCGACAGTGCGGTATCAGCGCTGCGCAAATGGAGCGGAATTTTATCGATTTTTTAAAAAAGATTGCTCTAAAAACTTAGATTTTTAACGCCTTCTCCAAGACAGACTTTTCACTGAAGAATGAAAATTAAATAACAAAGCGACAAAGATACTACTTTTATCACACTTGGTGGCGCTGGAACCGTCAACATGGCGTCGTCTGCGCCAAAGCAACTCTTACAAACACGCAGCTCTTCTCAAATAACCAGTTTGTTATTAATTTTTTTGTATGACTGCAGACAATATCTAGCATATATATTTTTGGTAATTCGATTGAAAAAAATAGTTTTTCTAAATTTTGCAATTGCTTAGTATTTAATGTTGGAATTTTCTCTATACAGGCCTATAAATTCTTGTACACGTGAAATAATGCCAACGATTGATGTTTTTTAGGTGACAGGAGCGACTGCTTAAAGAAAATTATGATAAAACTGCGTAGTAGAGCTAGTCGTCAGAAGTCATGGGCAGACACAAGCAAATTGCTAAATATAACGTTAAAGGATAAGAAACTACAATCTAGTCGAGAAGAAAGAACTCTTCTCAGGGAGCATTTACAAAAATTAGTTAGAATTGCAAGAGGTTGGTATATTTTGACTTCATTTAACCAATAGCACAATTTTGATTTTCCAGCTAACTCTGCTCAGGGTGTCAAGGAACGATTAGAATCTGTTGCCATGGAGCTGGGTCTTCGATATTCAGACAAACAGTACCCATCTCATCACGTGGCCGTTATTGCTACAGATCATTTTCACGTTGAATTTAGGTTGGACACATCAGGAAGGACTATGGATGCTATAGTTGCTCACGGAAGCAATTCTTCTTCGTCAACTAACCAGCCAACGGTAAAACAACTTTATTGTTTTTACAGTAATAATACCTTTTATCTCTTTTAGAGTTGTCCAGAAATATCGCAGGCATTAAAGTAAGTTGCATTATTATAAAATTTTAGACCTCACTTTTATTCTCTTAGTGACTGTAAACTGGAAACTGTCAAAGAACATGTTAGAGGGTTAACTGCAATGTATGCCATTGGTGCTGATCAGTAAGATTAACATTTATAAAATATCCTCTAAAAAGTAAAGCTTATTTTAAAATAGAAACAGATGTAAAAGAGCTTTCATTGCTCTCCAAGCCATGGAAAATGATCTGAACGAAATGGCCCAAAACTGGTAAGATTGTATTAATATATACAAGTACTACATATCCTTATCGTTAATTTTGCAATTAGCTCATCCTCTGAAATAAGAACTGTAACTGATACTATACATAAGGCACCTTTGGGTATACTATACCCTAGATCTGGCGGCTGTCCTTTAAAAATTTTGTATTTTGTTGGACCCTATGATCTTTTAAATGAAAAGACTAAAACGTCACTCATGATTACTGATGTTAAAGGTTGTATTTGATAAGAATAAATTGCTAGCAATGTTTGTTATTTTACAGCAATGAATGAGCATTGTTGCGGTCAGTATGTTACTGTTAGTATCGAAGGTGCGTCTCCTCGAAAACTTCAGCATCAATCTTTAATAATAAACTCTTCACCAAAGTAAGTTATGAAACTTTTCTAACTTGTCGTAATTAATGCAAGAGTAACATTTTTTGTGAATTTTTAAAACTTGAAAAAACTCCAGTGAATACGATATGTCAGCATTGGACAACCAAAATAGTTCAGTTTTACCTGCAGTATTTTATTTGAATTTGCACAAACCTATGCTCATTACTAGAAATATTCTCAAGGAAATACAAAAATTTACAGGTATTTATTTAAATATGACAAAAACTAAATTAAAATATTCTTCTAAGAAATCGACATATCAATGGGCTATGGCGAATCTGGGCCACTGGTTTCTCTCTTGATAAAAGAATGTGCCAAAAACGATAGAGATTCGACTTCAAACATTTATCCCTGTGGCGTTGCAATTGTTATTAGACTTAAATTCAAATTTTGAAACAACCCTAATAAACAATACTTTTACAGAATTTACCAGATCAACAGCATGCGTATTTCTTTAATGGAGGTTCTTCTGAGAGCCTTCACGCAGTAAGAATTCAGAAAATACCGTTCACTCATCCAACACATGTTCCAGCTATTATTGCCTATCTTCGTACTCAAGCTTTATTTAACTCAGTTTTGGCAAGTTGTGTACGATCTGGAAGGGTCGTAAAAGATAGAATGCGTAAGTTTTGCACTGTTCTTTTGTCTTAATTTTAAAGTTGCAGCTTTTAAAATTGATTTTTTTCAAACTCCCGGCTAACTTTAATATTATAGCTCTTTAATTGAATACTAATATGCATACAACCAAAATTAGCAATTATTTGTCTGAAACGCGTAGGCGATGTAGCTTCAATCAAATTTTATAACTATATTGCAATATACTTTAATAATATAGTTAAAGAAGAAGGCCGAAATGTGTTCCAAACAACAGTAATTTCTTTAAAGCACATATCAGTATCGTATGAAAATCCCAATGCTCGACGAATATGTTCAGGTAACAAAAATTTAATTTTTATGAAAGCAACATTTCATAACTTCATTTCCTTCAACAGCTGAGTTCAAGTTAAACAATGCGACTTGTGTAGAATGCTTTTTACGATGTGGTTCTGTTTTGGATGATGGAAAATCTTCTGGTGCTGATGGTCATTTAGCAGCCAAAGTATTTAAGAGGTCATACTCAATATTCTGAATTAAAATTTTGAAATATAAAGTAACTCAATTTTTCAGAAGTCAATCAATACCAGTCACTATGAGAGTTGTGTCTAATCAAACGTCAAAACTGAAGGACAGATATCAAGAAATGACAAATTCTAAATTAATCTGTGAACCTGACAAGCCAAATCCTCAAGTTTCTCAGCTAAGTTATTTTGAGGGTTTTGCTTCAGCATCATTGGACATTTCAACTAATAATATTTCACCACCTGTTCAAGCTACTTGTCCCCCACCGCGACCCCGACCTCTAGGGCAGCAAATATCAACTACAGGAACCAATTTATCAGTTTCAAGTTTAGGTATGACTCAAATCGAACCTACTCGTAGCCTTATGCGGTCTGCCAGCACAACTGTAGAAGCTGGCCAGCAAGGATCTATTCATGGCGGAATACATAGAACAATATCGGACCCTGGTCGTGCTGATAGCGAAGTATCAAAATGTACTATGCTAGCAAGGTTATTGGATCCCAATACATCTAGTCCAGAGACTGAACAAGATAATTCAGCATTAACATCAAACTATAATTCATTATCGTCAAAAATTAGAAAGCCAGCAAGTAGAAAACGTAAAAATGATCAACAAATTCGTGTTGGAAGAAGTCCGAAACGAAAAGTAAGTGGAGATGAATTTGATTTTGAAATATCATCCAGGAACACTCCTACGGTTGGGCATCTTGCAAATGATGAACGCCCCCCGTCCGCTCGATCACTACCTGATGATCACCGTCCGCTCTCAAGACCACCTTCGCGACCACCATCAGCATCTGAACAACTGACTAATCATCCAAGTTCATCACCATGTTTACCTATAGTGCGCGAGCAAACGTCATTGGCTGAATTGCTTCAGATGCCAACCTCTCATCAGTCAAATTGTTCCTCATCTCTAAATACTATACTAGCTACCCAGCCCTCTTCAAAACAGTTTACTGATATAACTGATCTAGTATCACCTGGATCTAGTAACATTGGAAATTATGAGAAAAATAATCATACTTTAACTCAATTCCATCAAAATTACCAGCACAAGCCAAATATTACTGTCAAATTAAAAATAGGCAAGGAATCTCCAAACAATAATGTTGAAGCTATTGAAGACAGTACACAAGAAACAAGTTGCTCTTCAAATGATATTTTAAACGAAGGAAACGATATAAGAAAGTCAATAGAACGTAAAAAGTCTAAAACAAATAACGAAATAAAAAGAAAGCGGAGCGATATTGAAAAAAAATCTTCAAAGAAAAAATCTGATGACTGGTCAAAGGGTCAAGATAATGAACAAGCTGCATCAGTAAAAATAACCATTGGTGGTAAATTACAGTTCAAAAAACTTAGCTCAAATAAACCATTGGTTCAAAAATCGACGAAAACAGATAAGCATAAACTTTCTAAAAGTAAATCTATCTCACGATCAAAATCAGAAACTGAAGCAAAGAAGTCACATCATTTCAAATCATTAACTACTTTAAGTGGCGGATCCAGTAATAATGGTTCACCCCCAACTTCATCTACTGTACCTCAATCTACTTCTGTAAATAGACAAACCCCAACGGCGTTTCAAACTATGCAACAACAGCAGCCGTTATCAACTGTTACAAAAAATGCCAAAGCAGTTCATAAGAAAAAATCTCTTTCTGAAGTTATTAGCAAATTGCATCCCACATCCAGTACAGTAGAAACTAAACTCTCTGCTAAAGATGAAATGGAGAAAATCCGGAAGGAAATGATTATGGCGGGAAACAATAATGCCAATGTTACTCCAGCAAAATTAGGACCTATTCCAAAAAAAGCTCCTACTGCAACTGCAAATAAAATTTCAAATAATCAGGGTGGTAACAGACTAAGACCTACTCTCAAATCCCAGCATAAATCCCCAGCCAGTCCATCGCCTACTCCAACTCTTTCTATCAAGGATTTGAGCCAAGATGAAGCCGCAGCTATAAACCTCCCTACTCCCAAAATCATTCCTCTCGATAAAGTTTCAAATGTTACTGGCGGAGCGTCTGTTAGTCCAGACAGTAGTGACGCAGATAGTCCAGGTGCAAGTTTGGTAATAGATACTAGTCAAACTACGACAGAAATTTCTCCTGCGTCTTCTCATTGTCGGTGATTATTTTGAGAAATATACCGAGTTCGAGACAATCTAAGTGTATAACTTGCCAATGAAATAGATTTTTTTTCTACAATACATGGTTCGTTTTGTGGTACGACATTTAATTTATTAGTTGCAAATATAGGGATTCCGAATAAAGGTACTCATTGAAATGAGAAAAACACAACAAGCAGACGAAAGACGGCCATTCTTAAAATGGCGGGTCTAGTATGCGGCAATTGTAATGAAGCAATTGTGGAACCCCTCTAGATCGATCCCAATTTTGTTGGATATCTTTACCCGTATAGGTCTTACGATAGACCTAGCAAGCGATTAGTTAGAGGAATAAACATTTAAAACACGATTAAAGACAAATCTGATAATTTTTTTTGGTATAGGACGCCTAAGCGAGCATTTTTTTACTGGCATTTTTCTTCTCAATAGAAGTGCGCGTGCGGATTGGCGCATACTGGACTAAGTAAGAGATATTTTCGATACTTAAACACCGCCGATCATGTACGAAGCGCAGATTTTATGAGAGTAAGCGTTTTTAATTAAACGAGGAATGGTGATTCATGAAAGCATCTTGTCCGCTCGTGTTTGAAAAAAAAAGATGGCAAAGCCAAACGATAAGGCAGGTGATGTGTACGTGAGGCAGAGAGAGTCGTTTCTGGCCGAGCTCGAGCAATTCCACAGAATTCGAGGGTAAGCCGCTCGTCGCGCTTTTTTTGCTTATTAACGGCGCTTAATATTTTCAAACAGTACTCCGTTCAAACGCGTTCCCATTGTTTCGGGAAAAGTGATCGACCTCTATTCTCTTTACAATCGAGTAACAGCTCTGGGAGGATGGCAAAAGGTACACGAATCTTCTAAATGGAAAGATATACAAAGGTACTTTCATGTACCTAAAGCATGTGCAAATGCGGCAATAGCTTTAAAATATATATACATCCGCTACCTACATTTGTACGAGCGTCTCCATTATCATGGTGACGATGTGGACAATAAAAATGAAGATGATGATACAGAGGCTCCAAGTGTATTTAGATCTCGACGTGCCTGTCAGCAAGCCGAAGTACCCCAAGTTTATCATGAACGAATGCATCAAATTGAACCTACAATACGCACAACTCATGGTTTAGCTGCAGCTTGGTCGCGATCACCATATCACAAACTCGAACTTTCGTTGCTATCAGGACTCCCAAATGAAGTCGATTTTGCCGTAAATATTCTTGCTTTGCTTTCGAACGATTCTCGACACTCTCTTCGACTCGAGCGTTGTCCTACTTTGCCCCGACTTTTGTTAGCGCATGTAAGTGTATATGCTACAGATGATGAAGGAGCATTATCTGCTCTTCATGACCTTACCTGGTCAAAGTTAAGTGGCAGAGACTTCACCCAATTTTGGAAAGACAGTCTGGCCCAACAAGATATCCTTTCTCTCTTACAGAATGAGGAACCTCCTATAAGACTTTCACCAAGAAAGTCTTGTGCAAACCGACCAAGTGGATCTCGTGACAAAGAATTACAGCGGGTTGTTCAAATAGCTGGTATTATTCGAAACCTCTCGTTTGAACCATTAAATGCCGCTGTGCTTATGAATGAATCCGTTGTGATTAGGTTTTTATTGCTTTGTGTTAACGCAAAACAGCCCCAAGTTCGCCAATTAGCTTTTGATACTCTAACGCATGTCGGATCATTAATACGTTTGGACCCTCATAGTTCAAAAACAAGATTAATACTCCGTACAGTTTCTTTCTGCATTGCTTCATCAGACAGAGCAGAAATTATTGGGGGACTAGAACTTCTATCAGCTTTGTGTCAGCATGAGGAAAATGATGATGTACTCAGTGAACTACTCGACACAGACGTTTATACTCATATGGCGAGATTGATTCTCGTTGCCGATATCCACCTACTTATTGCAACATTGGAGGCTTTACTGCAGCTTTCCGAATTAGGCCATGCGGCAGCCACTTTTGTTGCTAATGCCCAATCATTAGTGGACACTTTATGTAATCTCGTAACCATGGAAGCCCAGGCACTTGGATCTTCAGCTATCATCAATTTGCGAGTTGTTGAACAGCAGGTAACTGTCACGGAACCTACTTCTTCTCCAACGAGAAATACTCTTGTTCCTAGTTGTCTACCTCATCAACAGAATAAGTTACCAACAACTCCTGCTTCTGTTACAATAGTTAACTCAAATATAAGAAACAGACCTACAACTGTTGTAAGTACAAGCCGTTCTCAGCAACTTCCGCCCCCTCTCCCTCTACCACAAATGGATGGAGAAATATTGGCAAGGAATTGGTTGCAAGCACATTATGAGTATGTCGAAGACAGCTCATCGGCTATAGCCCATGCCGACTTATATCAAGCTTATTTGGCTGGTGCTAATGTAAACCATATTCGAAATCCTGTCACATCCAACGTGTTTATAACATGTGTCAGAGTAGCTTTTCCTTCTCTAGTCCTTCGATCCGTCGACAAGCGAAACGGTCACAGAGACATTCAATATATAGGCCTTCAGAAACGCGCTGCCTCTCTACCATTTCCTCCTCAACTCGAGAGAAGCGTTTGTAGCTCACCACCTCCAAAAACTAAGCGGACTACTCTTTCGAATGGTCACTCTAGTCCAATTAACTTCGGACAAGCTAAACTTGAACAGACTCCTGTCAAAGTGAACAATGTAAAAAAAGAGAACGAAGAAGCAATCGGATCCAACGGACCATTTACCAATGTTGTAAATGGTGTTTACAAACGTATGGTCAACGGAGAATGTGATGTTCTGAAACAGAACGGTTTTCCACAGGTAGACGGCGCTGGAGATGAAAAAGAAGAAAAAAGACCAGTCGATATATTATCGCAAGCCGCGAGTGTCATTTTTAATGAGGAACAACCTTCTCCTCCGCCAGTATCTTTCGTTTTAGTCGCACCGGCTCAATCTGCTCCACAAACGTTTCGGATTCAAATGGCTCCTCAAACAACATCCGTCGTTGCTGGAACCCAAATTGTTAGTTTCGGCACAAACAATATGGTGCTTCCAATAGTACAAAATACCGCCGCAACTGTAATTTTACAACCTCAAGCTCAAACACCTGTTGTTGTTCGACCAACGTCCGCAACGGTCAAAAGGCCTTCGACAACAGTAGCCACCTCCACAACGAATTCATTTTCTTCACAAACTCAAGCAAATGAAGCACCAAGTAAAAAGAGAGCCAGATCGAACAGTTCATCATCCTCACCTTTACCTGTACCGACTGATCATCGTTGTGAATGGTTAAACTGCAGTCAAATATTCGACGCTGGAAAAGAATTGGCTAATCATGTCCTGAGAACTCATTGTTCAGCTTTATCCGCCGGCTGTTGCAAATGGAATATCTCCTGCGACAATTTACATAGACAGAAATGGTCTCTATTACAGCATATTCAAGAAAAGCATTTAAGCGAAGCTGGTTTGAAGGCATCTCAGTTACGAAGGGCAAACCAGGGAGAAAAAGTCGCTACACCGTCCGTTTACCCCGAAAATGCCGCCTATCATGCTATTAATCGCTTCGCTCCTAAACCTCCCTATCCGGAATTAATGGTTGGTTACCATGATATATTGTATAATGTTCTAATTATTTTTATAATTTTAGGAAACAAAGGAAGGACCTGTTACAAAGCATATCCGCTTGACTGCAGCTCTTATACTGAACAACCTTGCCCGCTATTCGTCCGATGCACGCAGGTAAGTCTTATTGATTCTAATTAATTTGTGAAATAATTAGTCTCTTATGATATAAATAGCATACTGCGTAAACATGAAACTCGTCTGGCCTACGTTTCTTTGAGTTGCGTCGAGTCATCTTCGGCAGTCGCAAAATGCCTGCACCAACTCGTTCGACATGATATGAGCGATGTACCAGTGGACGAGCTGAGCTAATATTAGTATGTGTATAAATGTACATGTGAAGTTTTACTATATTTATAATGAATAAAACTGCCAATATTCTTTTACAAAAAAATCTTCAATTCAAGATTTTGTTTTCTATTTTTGCTATATTATTGCTGATTATCTACCCAACCAACAGATTGACGTCATAAAATGACAACCAATAAGTTTGTTAGCAACCGTTGCCGAGATATACATTATTTAGATTTCGATTTATTGTCAAATTATAATAAGCTATACATACGTTTTGAGGAGATGGAATTATTATTAATTTGATCGCACAACATCAACAGTATTATAACACACGCTCACAATGGCTAGCAAAGGGTTGCACAAAAGACACTAGGAAGCAATTGAGTTCCACTAAATTGTGCTGTCGCATTCATTCCACCATCAAATCACTTTCACAGAATTCGAAATGATAAAAAAAGCACAGTAGACAGTACAAGTGGTGGTCGCAGTACTAACATCAGTACAGCCCACATCCACGTAAATTGTTCGCGATGATCACGTCGGTAACTGCATCGAACACAAACTGTATATTGTTGGTGTCTGTGGCGCAAGTTTGGTGACAGTAAATTTCTTTTGTTGTACTTTTGTTCTTCGCTTCGAATTGTGCTTGTATATAAGCGGCTGCTTCTTCGTATGTTTGCTTTCCTGAAATGATATAATTAACGTTGTCCGTATGGTAATAAACAAAGAACTTTCGTGCATACCTGTGTATTCGGGAAAGCAAATAGTGAGCGGTGACTTTTTTATTTTTTCTTCAAATAGATCCTTCTTATTCAAAAACAGAATAATTGATGTGTCCGTGAACCACTTGTTGTTGCAGATTGAATCGAATAACTTTAAACTTTCTTGCATACGATTCTTAAAATGAGGCAAAATGACATTATCAGATTGTCACTATATTATTTTAGACTCACCGTCGTTTCATCTTCGTGTAGCACTTGGTCATACTCGCTCATCGCCACGCAGAAAATAATGGCCGTAACATCTTCGAAACAGTGAATCCACTTTTTACGTTCCGACCTTTGACCGCCCACATCAAACAATCTGAGAAAATACATTTAAATAAAAGTTTTAATTCGTGTAACATTTTTTGTGTAGATTAAATGCTTGGGCATAGGATAAGTGCATAAATGACAACCTATTCTACATTTGATTGAATAAAACGAAAAGTACCAACTAAGCAACATGTGCCGAGGGAGCCTGGACGAGCTTAATTGTAGAGAAAGGACGATAACTGAAATAACACAACACCCATTTGGAATAACGCATAACAGAAAACATGCAAAAAAAAGAGAATTGGGACTACATCATGCACATACAAACCATGCTGGTGCGAAACTCATGATATATTACGCACACCATGGTACAACTTACTTGAAATTCAAGTTCTTAAAATGAAAATGAACTTCTACAATTCCTGTTGTTTTAACACGAGTTCTAAGAATATCCTGCTCAGTAGGCATGTAATCTTTCGCACCCAACCGCTCGAGGTCGTCGAGAAAGCTGAAAAATATCAGATAGAGCTTTTTAGTCAACTAAAGTGAAGGACCTACTATTTCGCAGAATCGTTTAACTGATATTCGTTCGAACGGCCGAAGCACTCTTGAACGCCGCTGTCGACCCACAGCCTTTTCATGGCTGCCAAAAGCTCTTCAGAGAACGGTTCCGTATCTTCCATTCGGCCTATAACATCCAGCACCATCTTGGCGTCTCCTTCTCTCTCCGCATCAGCAAAAGCGATGCTTAGAGTGCCCATAGCTCTAATAATGGCCACCAGCGATTGAATTGTATTACTATACACAACCGGCTTGTATTGTTTATTGTCTTCGTTAGTGAAGCCGCCCTCGTGGATAATCCTAGATTCCGATCGATGAAGTAAATTTTATCGTCATGGTTACTTAAAGCATATAACTTATCATAAACTAAAAATAAAAGGTTAACTTACTTCATTTGTTTAACTATCGTACTCTTTCCAGATTCACCGGCACCTGTTAGTGAGGAAAAAGGAAAAACGTTGAGAAAGTGCCATGTTGAATAATAATTAGGAATACAATGTTCATATTTTATGCATTAAAGATGGCGGCTATATAAGGTCGATTAGTGAGAGTAATACATATAGCATTAATGTTGCAAGAAATGAACCTTACCGAGTAACAGAAGTTTGATGTCTTTTGCGGCCTGAATGCCATCCTCTTTGAGATTCTTTTCGATCTGCTTACTCCTTTCCAGAGCAGCACGCTCATCTGCACTCATAGTACAGCCCATCTTTGCAGGCTGCCTCTGACGATAATAAAAAGGCGCGCCTCGCCTTTTTTACCTAACTGCACTAGAGATTCCAATCGGTTTTTTCCTTTAATAGAAAATCCTATGTACGAATAGACTCGCCAACCTGTCTTCGTCGTTCACGTACACAACGGAGAGTTAGATTTCAACAGCACATCCAACAACGCCGCATTCGTTCGCCTCTTTATGATAATTCGCCGCCTTCCGCCAATCAGACTTCATGATGAAAACGAGGCTTTTTCCGGTTCAATAAGTAAATATATTAATATTGTTTTCCCAACTGTGTTCTTTTTAAAAACATAATTTTTTGAAGATTTAACTTTAAAAATTAACTACGAAAGAGTAAAATAAAACCTGATATGCCATCTATTGTATGATTGAATATTCAATAGCTTTGTCTCTTTAACAGATGGCGCAACTTATAATATCAGAAAAACAAATCATTCGAAAAGCGTGTAAATATTATTTTATTTCATCTATATTTAAACACTTTAAAAAAGAGTTTTCAAAATATTATTACGTTTGATGTAATATCTCAGACAAGATATTTCACTTTTTAATTTAAGAACATATCTCATTTTCACAAAGTTCCTTTAGTTTTCATTGGTCATAAAACCATCACCAGTACTGCACATACTAAATTATTAGCTACTAAATAACATCTAGCGGAATGGAACTATAATGCAACTTTTCCAGATTTGAAGTTTAAGAGCATTCAATTTTATCATCATCTATATAAAGTACAACTCTAACTTTTAAAATTAAAACTTTAAGCTTGAAATAAACTTCCCTTCAGTATTTTGTCCTTATTAATAACTGTAAGTTCTGTATATATTCAAATCCTAGAGATTATATAATTAGTTACAGTAGAATGCATGTATGTTTTAGTCATTTAAACACGATCCTATATCAATGATCACTACACCAGAATATTACAGCAATTTCTGTTTTCAAATTCCATTTGCACACCACATATGCCATCTATTGTTGTTATTCCTTAGTAATTACAAGCCCGTAGATGGCACCAAAAGATAGCTTTCGAAGTTGGCGTTTTAGTGTTTGAGTGCGATATCAAATGAATATTTCTCGCTATCAAAGTTTAGATGGAAAATTGGAGAATACGACACGAAAATCCTATAAAAAGGGTTAAAGAAATGAATACGTGAAAATTGTAGATTTTGTAACGACAGCTTCGTTCACTAATTTCGTTTACTCGTCGTCAAATCGCGTTTAGGTCTCATACATCTTTAGCTCCGCGCATTCTTGATTAGACTTTCCACTTTTGTAGCCTGAAGTGTCAATGTCTCAGGCAGGTGAAGTTTGCGTATGCAGATTTCTAGACCGACATACGTCAACGATGTTTTATGCTTGGTTTGAGTACATAATGCCCTAATGAATAAAGCGATTATGAAGCTTGTTGTTTGTAATGAACGCCAGTGGCGGTTTACTGAGAGTGCATGTCTAAAAGAGCGAATCGCGTGCTCTAATCAAGAAGTCGAAAAAAAAACAGTGAACGGGCAATTTATGCCAAATCCCATAATCCTTCTATTGTAAAACAGCACGTGCTGTAACGTCACACTCACCGTCACGCTAGATCGCACTGATCGAAGTTGAAGTGTGAGATTGCAAATCGTTGGCGGCATAGAACTTGAAATACTGGCTCGCGTTACTATCTGTCTACCAGAACATATTGTATCTATTATATATTTTATTGCATAATGTATACTCAGTATCTTCATCATATAAATATTACGCAAATATTTATCTAATAAAGAAAGGCATTGGCTACATCAATTTCTGCATTGATTTTGATATTTATTGGAAAAAAGTAACTGATAAATTAAATATAGCGAAGGATGACTCAAATTGAAGATGCTACTTGACGATCACTTGTAAAAATATGATGAAAATGAAATGTCTAGCGCCACATGTTGTGTCCATTTTAAGCCTATCCTCATCCGAAAAGCTCTAGATCACTGCTCGATAAGCAGCCGTCTCATTACCGCACAGATCTGCTGCTAACTCCCGGATTTGTTAGTCATGCATTGCATTAACATTCGCATTCGATGCGTGAACACTTTTCGACGTCTTCGCTTGTCACACTTGTCACTAACATTCACAGCGACTCTGAGCAGAACAGGCGTTACATTCAGAATACGAAATAGATGCTAGATTCTGTAATATATAAAATAAACGTTTCTTGACTACTTCATTTTCAGTCCTCTCATGCTGCAGTATCACGATAGAAAACAGGTGTGAGCTCACGAAATATATTCATAATCATTGTTGCTGACTAGTGTGTCATATAACTTAAATTGTTATTGGACACTTAATTGAAAGTATAATAATTATATGAAGACATCTGTTTCAGTGTTTTCATTTAAGACAAGGAAATTAAATTTCCAACACCTCTTTTTTATCAATATGTAATTTTACAGTGATATATCTCCTGGTTATGACATATTGCTAATTGTGTATTAACTGAACATGCAACATGTTAATACCAACATGAAAAAGTTATAGTATGCGCATATTTTTAATCTGCACAGCCAAGTCAATCAGGTATAATCATTCACCGTGCTTAAAAAGCGTTGATAAAACTCCACCGGAAGGCGTCTAGGCGTTGTATTTGAATTTTGACAAGTGCCTCGAAGGTTTTGCACGATTGACGTGACTTCGACAAAAAACAAGCTTTTTTTACCCGTTATGACTTTATCCTCATCTTAATATTGATAAATTGGAGGACAACTTCAATTTGTGTTTTTGTATTAAATATACTAAACTTCAATTCAGAATGAAACTATTTAAAATAGCTAATCTATGATAAAAGTTACCGATAACATTCATATTTCTTTATACTCTTCACTTATTTTACTCATGAAAGCTGGAGAATTACTCGGCTGTCCGGTTTAAAAGAGCCACCCATATAGTTAAATTAGCGATAATTGATCGCCGATTCTTGTCCGTCTTATCGTTTTGAAGCACGTATTTGTTCTGGAAAAAGCGCCATCTATTGGTTCATAAAATTGAAACTTTATTCGAAATGAGGATCCGTGAAAATGAAAGGTGTGCCAGAGAATATTTCGAGATTAAGCGAACCTCATAGTATATAAGACAAATGTTGGAATTAATCCAAATAATTCGCATTTTAATTGACGTATTGTTGGCGGAAGAGTGAATTCCAAATGCAAGCAGAAAGTCTATATCATCATTTATAAAAGCGTAGCATAGCAACAAGACAAGTACGACTCAAGCATGCTGACCAAACGACCGGCTGTAGGAATATGAGCAATCAGGCCACTTTATATATGTTCACCAGGCGTTTTATTCATACAGCAAGCCCTTCCTAACTCGAATTCTCCCATTCTCTCATGTTTTAATCATTTGCTTACGCCTGTGCTCTCTGCGATAATATTGCGGAGGCAGATCATATAATAGCATAAAGTAAGACTGAGTACTGATATATTTCGCATTGATAATACCTAGAAAGACAGGATAAAAACTACAAAGTTAAAATAATACCTAGAGAAAGCCGTAAAATGTTGTAATAAATCTTCTGGTGGATGATGCAACCAGGCAAAACGTGCCGTTTAATTTTGCCACTAGTTTACGTAATATGGAAATTGCAAAAAGGCGAGTCGCCTTTTCAAGTTGAGCGACCAACCGCCACGTATTATAACCGCTTGTAAAAAAAATAGCGTGAAAGTATAATAGTATACCCAGTGAACACGCGTAAAAGCTATAATTCAAACTATAGAGAGCAAATTTGTGAGACGTTCATGCCCTGACGTCACTCGTCACTGCCAGCACCTTGTTTGTCGTACGCAATGAAGCGTTAGCAAGCAGATGACGTCACTACATGACGTCACTGATATTTATGCAGCTGCTAGTTTATTGACGAATCGCCAATTTTCTTCTAATCTGTTGAAATTGCGACGATCTAGACAAGTTATAACGCCTTAAGACAAAGGAAACGCGCGTAAATTCTCAAGAGATTTCCCTTCACATCTGTTCAAAAGAGTCAAAACATCAGAAGCGACCATGATAGGGATGAAATTTAGGTACATTTTGTCAATTGGAGCGTACGCTGCAGAGCACGCACCGAGATCTACATAGTTTGGCAGCAAACTGCCCACTCAGAGCTAACTCACACAGCCACTTGACGTACTCAACAGTCTCAACTTAGCTCGAGTACAGACTTGGTGAAGTTGAAGCATGAGAACCCGACTATCTGAATACCTATGTTCACAATGAAGACAATAAACTTTACAAACAAGTGTGCATAACTATTCTGTGCGAAATGATAAACACTTATCACAATCAATGTAATAGAACGATAAAGGCAAACAAGTCCCTTGTTTCTGTCATTATCTGCCTGACAAGTAATTAGAGTGCATCACCTCTCCAGGGAGCGTTATTTTAGACGTCTCTGGTCATCCCGAGTTGGCGAGAGGGAAGGCAAAAAGAAATTAAATCGACGCTCGCCTTTCGTCAACAAACGCGCGTGCGTTGTTCGAAAAAATGCGGCGTCACATATTTTCCCGTCGTTCTTCTCGTGTTGCGCGAACGAGTTATGTTGACTTTTCTTGACAGCAACAGGAAACCGTCTCTAATCACTTTTCCTGTGGTTAAAACTTTACAGTAAAGAAGAAAAGACAAATATAAAAATTACACTAGCAATTTTAGTGAAGATAGGTATTTTCTCTTTATATTTTAAAATCATTTTTTGTTAAACAAGTTGTGTACATTATATTTCATTTAATTTATGATTTTTCTAAAAGATACTTTTTTCAGGAGAAAATAAAGAAAGAGGGAATCGAACGAGATGCGAATGGCGCAAACAGTCGTAAATTGCCCAATTTGAGGTTGCGCGTTGCCGAATAAAAAAGGCTAAAGGCAAACGAAGGAGAGACATCGGGTTAATAGATTGTTTGGCTGATTTAGTAGATGCCCGGATGCCGTTTTCACATTGCAGTTGCCGCAGAACTTTATATAAAACAAAGACGATGAAAACGTGAGTGTTGCCGTGCTCGCCAGGGAACAAACCGCCATTTTGCCTGTTCTGAGTTTGCGCCCAAATGAGCGCGACTGACGTGCTTCGAATACGAATTTGTTTGTCTTTTCTTCATTGATTTGTCTTTTTGCTCCATACGTATATGTATATATGTTCTTTTCTTTTCTTTTATATACAAATGAAACGTTCGGATGCGACATCATGCACCGACAGGTGC